GGGTGGCTACGGGTACACGGGGTAGGAGTGTATCTTGCAGAACCACTTCCGCAGAGGGGCCCAACACACAATGGGCTCCAATATTGAAAAACACCAGACGATCTGCCTCGGAGGACATAAACAGGCCGAGCGGATGCAGGTTCATAAAACCCGCAGAAACCCAGACAGGAACACTTAAAATGCCCCAGAAACAAAGCACACCGTGACAAATTCTCACCCAGCACACAAGTACACGCACAGGAATGTTCCCAGGCACATACAGAAAGACAGCCTCCCTACCTCCAGCCTCCACTCGTGGACACTCAGGTATACCTGGCCAGCTCCAGAAACAGGTTTGTGTTCATTCCTAAACTGACCCCAAGAAACCCCTAGAGGTTGGGGGGGGCAGGCACCGGCGGCACTGCACACCCCCACTGAGCCAGCCCAGGTCTCCTGAGTCCCGCTAATGCACGATCCAGATCCATGCCCAGAGATAAAGTCTAGACAATAGACTTTATGACAAGAGGCTCTCGAGTTAGGGGCCGGCCGATAAATCTCTGGCGAATCTTCCTGTAACTCAACTGCAGGCTGTCGTGACTGAGAACCACAGGGTCCACAGAGAGGAAAGCAGAGAAGTGGAGTGCGTTGGAGGGGCTGCTTTTTAAGTCCTGGGCAGGAGGCGGCTTCCCCACTGGGGCGAGCCAGCCTGGGCCGGCACACTGGCTCCACGCAGCTCGGCCGCACTGTGGAAGCTTCCGGATCAGGCTTGAGAGCACTGGCCAGTCAGGGTTGTCAGGGCTGCCCGCTGCTGTCCAGGCTACCGGAAATCGGGGGAAATGAACAGTCGAGAGGCAGGGCCTGGCGGCTGGGACAGACCCACAGCCCATGCTCGCTTGCCTGGGGCAAAGGGTCTTTTCTTGTTGGTGACTAGAATCTTCTTGCTCTATGTCACCTGAATTTTTCACCCCACTCAACTTCTCTCTCTCTCTCTCTCAATCTCTCTCCCCTTTCCTTTTTGGATTGATGGGCTGTTCCCTTTTGCATTTTCGACCCAGGCGTCTGATTACAACTAGAGAGCCACTGAAGTTGATCTCATAAAAATGCCGCGAGCTCACTTTGATCAGGGCGGACTGGGTCCGAGCCTAAGCAGGCGCTAAAGGCAAAGAATGGCGGCTCGGGCCAGCCCGGCCACCGGCCTGCGCCCAGGAAAGGTATTTTGTGTGTATGTGAATGAGTGTGTGTGTGTGTGTGTGTGTGCGCGCGCGCGCGCGTGCACCACCGCCACACCGTTTTGCAAACGAGGGCCCAACGGCAGCGACTCCATTTCCAGACTGCTTTTAAGACATTTCCTTCATTTTAGAGCATTTGGTAAGGAGGCTAGTGAAACTGGCTCGTAAAATGGGCCTTTTATGGGGGGAGAAATGGGGTCGCGTTGCTAGCCTCCGGGGACAATCCCTCCGCGGAGGAAGCTGGGTGGGGCCGCAGGGGCGGAGGAGACACCCCTCGCCCTACTGCCCGCCTGGTTCATAGGCCGGGGTTCCCCGCTTAGGTGGCCTGACCTGGGGGCCCCAGTCTTGGGGTGACAGCCAGGGCTGAGGCGAAGTGGAAGCCAGGAGCCGGCAGAGCCACCTCCTCCCAGTTTCCTAGCTGGGGTAGGGAGGAGTGGGAAAGTCCCAGGTGTGAGATAAACCGCAAGCCTGAAAATACCAAATCACACTAAAGGGATTATTAAATACCCGATATTGCGCTAGGGAGAGAGATGCGCACAAAAAGGTGCAAGCTGATTTTTAATGAGGGCTCCTCTTGACAAGCCCAGCCTGGGAGGTCCACGCGCGGGACACCGTTGGCTCCCCTCTGCGAGGGGCCGAATCTATTATCCAAGCCCACCAGAGCTCTTCCCAGGGGCCCCCTTTCTCCTCTCAGGCTCTTCCTCCAAGCTCATAGTCCCTGTCGCTGTGTGCTTTCTGGAACCCAGAGCGGCAAGGCGGCCCCGGTGGTGCTGTGTGCCCGCCTTCTGAATCCATCTCTGTTGTATGTCGGAACGTGGAAAGGAGTGGTGCTCCAGTGCGCAGTGGCCCTGGCCTCACTAAGACAGGAGCCGCCCAGACCAGCTGCCTGCTAGCGGCCGAGCAGGCGGGCCGCCCTGACGGAGACCACCAAGAGCCAGCAGGGAGGGCAGCCTGGCCCTGGTGCAGAGAATTCCAGGTGATGGCTGGGACAGATGGAGGGCCACCAGGTGAGGGGAAAGAAAAAAGCCGCCTGGTGTGAGGCCTGCCAGGGAAGGAACCTGAGGCCCACTGATGGTCCCGTGGCATGGAGGTACCCCAAGCCCAGGTACCGCTCCAGGCAAAGGCTCAGCCCTGTGCTTCTGGGTGGCCTGGATCAGGGCTGGGCAGAGCGGCAGCCCCTCAGCGTGGGCATGTTTGCCAATCAGCATCCAGCTGACTTCGGAGGCCTGTGCCTTCTCTCTCTGACCCCAGCAGCAGCCACCAGTTGCTGGAATTATTTTTTTAAGCAATCGAAAAATTAGAAAAACAGTGCCAGCAAAAATTTTAAACTTTGTATCTTACTTTTAGCGGGGAAGAATATTATTTCTCAGAGTCTCTGTTGGGAGACCCCAGAGTTTCCTGGGACATCAACTCCTGGTATTCTGTCTTGCTTTTTCTTTTCCTTTCTTTCTTTTCTTTTCCTTCCTTCCTTCCTTCCTTCCTTCCTTCCTTCCTTCCTTCCTTCCTTCCTCTCTCTCTCTCTCTCTCTCTCTCTCTTTCTTTCTTTCTTTCTTTCTTTCTTTCTTTCTTTCTTTCTTTCTTTTCTTTCTTGTTTCAAAGAAATAAGGCCGCCGCCAGCCAGCAGCTCCTCACAGCCGCCCAGCTCACTTTTATGGTGGCCCCGGAATAAACTTTGGTGGTCAAATTCAAGTGCTCAGACCTACAGCTGTCTCCTCACAGGAAGCAGCCTACCCCTCCCAGCCCTGGCTGTGCAGGGATACGCTCTGGGGGATTGGGCCCCACATCACCCAAAGGACTGAGAAGGGAACGGAGCAGAGTCGTGGGGTAGGGGCAGTGTGTGTGTGGGGGTGAGAATATCAGGAACTCAGACTCCTCGTTGTCTTCATCCACACCTATGCAAGGAAGAAGGGTACCGCACCCTCGTTCCTATCACTGTTTAGGGAGCATTTTGCCTCCAATAAACTCGAATTTAATGAGGTCAGCACGAACCCCATAAAAGCCACAATCCATAGTTCCCCACCACTATAGTCAAAAACGCTGCCCCCAGCTCACCCTGTAAAAAGGGCGAGAGGAAAAAAGGAAATGCAACAGATTTTACTTTCTGGGTCTCCTTGCCGGGTGAAGCCCCACACTTCAGCAGAGCCCTAATGTACTTCTTCTTTGCGCTCAGTTAAGGTCTGGCCAGACCCCAAGGAGGGCTTGGAAGTCTGCGCCAGGCACTGGGAGGCCGAGGGGCCCTGGGGGTCTGTCCCCAGGACGGCCGAGCCACCCCCAGGCTGCGACCCACAGCACAGGCACACTTCCCCAAGGTGTTGCTGCGAAGGCCAGGCTGGACAAGTCTGGAGAGGCAGGAAGTCTTCGAAGGAATGGCTTTCGGGGGCTGTCTTGGGAGACCCAACACCACTTTGGTGCCCTCCGTGTGTGGTTTGTGGGCTTCCACACTTCACCACGCTCCGGCAAGGAAAATCAAATCCACATTACTTTATTTTTAAACAAACGGGAACCAATTTTAACCAAGAGTTGGGAAGCATTTGTGGGGTTTGAGCTACTTTTGGTTGTCCCCAGGCTGAATCCTGGGGGCTTCGGTTCTTTGCCGGAACAGGAACAAATCACGCCTTGGGGACTCCTTCTCAGAACCCAGGCCGCTTTCTGCCCAAGCCGGCCGTTCTGGCCCCTTGCACCCAGCCCAGAACCTTTCATGGCAGCAATTTTCAGCTGCCCAGATGTGTCCTGTGGTGCCCAGCAGAGAGCACAACCACCGAATCCTGGACCACAGTCCTTGGCAAGGCCACAGACTGGGAGAGGGGCAAGGGCAGGACCGAGAAACTGGAAGGAGGCACTCGGGTTCGGCTGCAGCCCCAGGGAGACGGGTTAGGGGCTTCCACTGGGAAGTGGCCCCTGGCCCTACTGATGGTCTAGGGGTCCAAGCTCCCTTTCTCTCTCCTGCTGAGAGACCCACATCTGGCTCCAGCCCCCCTCCAAGCACCCCAAATCACCCCTTCACCATATCCTCCCTGGACCAGCCTTCTTTGCAGCCCATCAGCTGAGATGGAGCCCCCAACCCAGAGGGCCCCAGACCCCCCCCATCAGAAAAGATACATGGTTCTCATTTGTTTCCATCTTTTTCTTTGGGATTTGGGACTTAGAAATCCACAGTGGATGTAGCTTTCTGCGCATTGATTGACAATAAAGGCAGGCATGAAATATTCACCCAGGGCCACTCTCTCATACTAAATATTTAACACAACATTAGAGAAGGTTTTTCCCAGACTTCGCCAGGCACCGGCTGGGCGGCTGGCGCACTGCTCACCACTCGTTTATGACTAATCCGAGTCCCTAGCCGGCGGCAGCACAGCAAGCCAGACAAAGTTGGGACACAAGCTTGTGGCTGGGCTGCCTCACCTTTGGGAAACTTCAGATACTCTTCCGGGGAGTCCCTCCAAAGACTCCAAAAAGGAAGTCTTGACATCCAGCTCTGGCCAGGGAGGGGACCGAATGGATTTCTTCAAACTCTGGTGAACAGGCGCTGAGTCTGTGGGCTGCAGGGTGAGTCCCTGAGACTGGGGGAGGGTGAGGTGGGGGAGATCAGGCAGTGGGGAAAGAGGGCCTCCTTCCCACCCCATCTCCTTCTGATCCCAGAGAGGAGGCAAGACCCCCCCCCCTCACACACACACACACACTGCCCCCAGCCCTGAAAGCTCTCCCCCTTCCTCTCCCAATCCTGGGGGGAAAGAGAGCAACTAGGAAAAAAAAATACACTTGCCCCCTCCCAGCCGCCGCCCCCGCCCACCCCACCGCCCACCCCACCCAAGCCTGTCTCCCCTCCTCTGCTCGCGCTGGGAGGAATGGAGAGGAGGGGAGTGAGGAGAGAAAAACGAATACAAATCTGCAATTGATTTTCATAATGTTTCTGCGGTGTTTGCAAACCAATCGCCTGAACGTCCCCATCTTACCTAAGAGAGAACCCCTCCTACGTCTGCGAAGTGCTCCGAACTGATATATGACAATATCTACTTTGGATCACGTGCTCGGGGAGAGAGACTAAGACGGATAACGCGTCATCTCGCCTTCCCAAATTTTCCCCCCTCGCTAGACCGGGTCCGAAACCTCCGCCCGGAGCCGGCGGCACAGGAGAACGATGTTTAACTCGGTCAACCTGGGCAACTTCTGCTCGCCGTCGCGCAAGGACCGGGGCGCGGACTTCGGCGAGCGGGGGAGCTGCGCCTCCAACCTCTATCTGCCCAGCTGCACTTACTACGTGCCCGAGTTCTCCACCGTCTCCTCCTTCCTGCCCCAGGCCCCTTCTCGCCAGATCTCCTATCCCTACTCGGCCCAAGTGCCCCCGGTCCGCGAGGTCTCCTACGGCCTGGAGCCCTCCGGCAAGTGGCACCACCGGAACAGCTACTCCTCCTGCTATGCGGCGGCCGACGAGCTCATGCACCGCGAGTGCCTGCCTCCGTCCACGGTCACCGAGATCCTCATGAAAAACGAAGGCTCCTACGGCGGCCACCACCACCCCAGCGCCCCGCACGCGGCCCCCGCCGGCTTCTACTCCTCCGTGAACAAGAACAGCGTCCTGCCCCAAGCCTTCGACCGCTTCTTCGACAACGCCTATTGCGGCGGCGGCGGCGGCGGCGGCGGCGGCGACGCGCCCGCCGAGCCCCCCTGCTCGGGCAAGGGCGAGGCCAAAGGTGAGCCCGAGGCGCCCCCGGCCTCGGGACTGGCGCCCCGGGCGGACGCAGGCGCCGAGGCCGAGGCCGAGGAGGAGAACACGAATCCCAGCTCGTCCGGGTCAGCCCACTCGGCGGCCAAGGAGCCGGCCAAGGGAGCCGCCCCCAGTAGGTAGCCGCGGCCGGGCGGGCAGGGCGGCGAGGGAGGGAGCGCGTCGGGGAGGGCCAGGGCAGGGGGAGGCTGGGGGAGTGGGGCCCGGCCTCACGTTTTGGGTCAGTCCGATTTTATGTGGAGTTTTATAAGCATTCAAAGGATTTTATTATAACCGACAAAGCCCTCTCTCCCGACGACTCGACTTTTTACGATGGAGAAGGGGTGGGGAGGGAGGGACAAGAGCTCTTTGGAAAAGCCGGGAGAACCCCCCTCCCCCGTTATCTCCCTCGGTCTGTGAAATTTCTTAAAAGCGCCACCATCGCGGGCGATATTAACTTTGATCGTGAACTTAGAGCAGCATTTACGCAAGGATGGGGAGCTGGGCCGCCGGGGGTGGAGTGGGAGGGAGGGGAGGGGTGGCGGGGGGGAGAGAGGGGAGGGCGAGGGAAAGGCCGGGGCCAGCCCGGGGAGGGGGAGAGGTGGGGGGAGCGAGGCAGCGGAGCAGAACCTGAGACCCGCGAGGGAGCCCAGGCCGTTCCGCTTCTGTCTTTAAAACTATTTTGGGGGGGAGGAAAAAATTATGTTCAAACTGCGTCTTGGCGGCCCAGAATCCGGGCAAGGTAGCCGGAGCCCAAGCGACAGAGGAGTCCGCGGCGACAGGAGAGCGGGGACGAGCGGCCGCGCTGCGCTGCAGGCGGGGGGTGGGGGGGGTGGGCTTCCGCTGTGCGGCGCGGTCTGCGGCCTCGTGCAAGGCGCGGCCCGGGCGGCCCGGGCGGCCCGGAGAGCTGGGACGCCCCCCGCCCCCGGAAGCGGCGCTGGGGCGCCCCGGTGCCCGCGCGCCGCTGGCTTCCTCCCGGCGGGCTCTCCTGGCTGCTCTAGCCTGATCTCACTTCCTTGCGCCTGCTCCACAAGCTTCCCTCCGGTTTCTGGGGGAAGGGGGTGGTGGGCTTTCGGAACCGTCAGGAGGGCAAAGGCGCCGAAGGCCTGCAGGGCAGCAGCAGGAGGGGGGCCCACGGGGGACGCACGTGGCCCCGGGCGGCTTCCCTCCTCCCCCCGGACCCCGCCGGCCCAGGCCCTCACCCGAGCGCGAGAAGGGGGTGTGTGGGTCGCTAGGCTGCCCGGGCTGCGCGCGGCCGGGGGTCGAGGCCAGCCCAGCGCCCACGCCCGGACCCGAGCACGCGCGCGCGGGAGGGGTCGAGCCAGAGGCCTGGCTGGAGGGCAGCCTGGCGGCAGGGACTGGGAGAAGGGCCGCTGAGCGCTCGGCGGGCCGGGGTCGCCCGGGTCTCACGTGTCTCTCTCCCCCTCTCCTCGCACTTGCCCCCTCCCCTCCCCTCCCCTCCAGACGCCCCCCGCACCCGCAAGAAGCGCTGTCCTTATTCGAAATTCCAGATCCGGGAACTGGAGCGGGAGTTTTTCTTCAACGTGTATATCAACAAAGAGAAGCGGCTGCAGCTGTCGCGGATGCTGAACCTGACGGACCGACAAGTGAAAATTTGGTTTCAGAACAGAAGGATGAAAGAAAAAAAACTGAGCAGAGACCGGCTGCAGTATTTTTCGGGAAACCCGCTGCTGTAACCGCAAACCCGGCCCTTTTGCGCGGGGGGTGGGTGGGGAAGAGGGCACAAGAGGAAATTATTTTATTTTATTTTTATTTTTTATTTTCTAACTCGTCTTCTTTCCGCGGGGTGGAAAACCGGACTGTGGCCAGGGCTGGCCCCCGCTGCCCTTGTCGGCGCTGCCCCCGCGGAGCCGCCTTTGCGTCCGCCTGACCGTCGCTGCGGGACCCGGGCGGGCCTGGACAGGGGTGTTGAGCGTCCGACCCGCGGCCAAGACTCTTTATTTAAACGAAAACACACCTCGCGACAACGTCTTGCTGCTGGGATGGGGTGAGGGGAGGGGCGAGGGTCGTGGGCGGCGGAGCCTAGCAATCCTTGGACTGAGAAAGCCTTCCCTTGCCCGGGTGGAAAGATCCGCTGCGACACCTTGTCTGCGGGGGAGACCTGCCAGGCTCCCCGCCCCGTCCCCACCTTGCCCCGCTGCCGGGGGGCGGCTAAATGTGATCCTGCCTTGCTGTGAATTTCCTGTACCTTCGACCTGGTGTTAGGTGTGCAAAGTCTGTGTCCTACCTCCGTGTGCGCCCTGGCCCCGCCCGAGCCTAGTTGTCCTCCCGTGACCGTGTAGAGAGAGCCCTCCTTTGAAATTTCTGAACTGGTGCATTGAGGTTTCCTAACCTTTCTCCAAGCAGCGCCCACTCCATGGATTTATAGCTAGTCTATGCAGTTGTCCTTTTTTTCTTTTTTTTTTTTTTTTTGGAAGAAAAAAAAAAAGATTGGGATGGAGGAGGCAGGAGAGAAATGAGATGGGCACCTCTTGCTCGCAGGTGGGGTGGGCTGTTTTTGTAAATAAACCTCACAAGCCGTTCTTTCTACCTGGAGAGGGTGACGGGAGAGGACGTACATCAGATTGGAATTACCCATCTCTCTCCGTGTGATTTTTTTTTTGATGGCAAATAAAGATCTTTCATTCTGTTCAATATTATGATTTTACTTTTAACCCCACTCCTTAAAAAAAAAAAAAAAAAACCCTCCATGCTCCCAAGACGGTGGAGAAGGAGGAGGCGGCAGAGCCTGGGGCTGGCGGAGGCGAGGCAGGCCGGTGCTGGCTCCCTTGGAGCTGCCAGCCGCTGTCAGGGCCAAGAGTGTGACTGTGACGGTGGCTTCCTGCTCTTCGGCGGAGGACATTCCACGGCTACTCTCAGGCTCCCCTTTCTCACGTGCAGCTCGAGCTGTGTCCAAATACCCAGCACCGCTTTCCATTTAAGCACAAGTTTGTTGTGCAGTTAATTGTAACCATCATCAAATTTAAATTTATAGGAATTTTCTTGGCTCCACCGCCCTCCTGCCAGATGTCTCCGTCTGTCGCAGTTAAATGTGTAGGGTGGAGGGGTGAGGCTTTCGCTTTTTTTTTTTCTCTATGAGAAGACTGTATTGGAATTTTTATATACAGTTTTGAAGGAAGGAGGGGAGAGGAGCAGAAGCTGGCCCCCTCCTGAGGATGGAAAGGTGGGGCCAGGCCCCTTCCCCTTAGGCACAAATGGCCAGGCTCCACCAGACACCACTGGACACCTAGGCTGGCCCGCCCTGATGTCTGTCCAGGGGGTGTCCCAGAGCAGAGAGACCCAGAAATTGGTTTCATAGGGGCTGGCATTGGGGAAACACTGGGGAAGGAGGTGGCCTGTGGGGACAGCGGCCGCCACACCCAGCTGGATCTGCTGCATGTTGCTTCTGTGTCCAGAGAGCCGCGGGGTCCTCTCAGTGCTGACTCTGGGGGCACTGGGTTCTTCTCTGTTCCAGGTTCATGATTTGGGGGAGGAAGTTGCGGACCCATTTTCCCACCTTCCTCCCCTCTGTTCTGGTGTAATTCCACGTGTGTCTGTCTGTCAATACAGTTCTGTTGGACGCAAGGCAGGAGCGCTGTGGCTGTTTCCTTGAGGGCCTGTTGTCGCTTCTGCAGGCAGGGATGTGACTCTCTGATTTGTAAATGTTGGGTGTGTGCAGCCTCCAGTTCCCTCCTGTGCCCCCAACCCCACCCCACATTTTGAGTCCCTATAGCTGCACCTGAAGAGAATTGTTATCTGTACACCCATGCCTGCAGCATGCAGTGAATGCACGCTAAGGGCACACGTCCCCGCGTTGTGCAGTGAGTGTGGCAGGAATGCCGGGAGGGTCCCCTGTGTATCTGAGTGTGTGACATTTCTCCAGGTGTGAGGGTGAGCCACCGGCCACTTGAGGGCATGTTAATCCGCTGGCTGTGTTTCCTGGAAAAAAAAAGCAGAAATTCTGTTGAGTTTTCTTTTGAGAAAAAATGACAGAAACTCTAGGGGATGAACCTGTTTATAAAACAAAATATCAGCCTTCACATGGTTCCTGATTTGGGAGCAAAATATTGAAAGCTTGGAGCTGTCCCTTTTCCTGCAACGTGCAGCCCAGACTAGATTTCTGTAGGGTAGGAGGCGAGGAGTCATTGGGAAAGAAAAACAAAGACTCTGACCCAGGCCAGCCGGGGACCTGCCAGTCCTCAGTGACCCTCCAGAAAGGGGGGGCGGTAAAGAAGGGTGTCTCCAGTCCCCCAAACAAACCCAGCTCTGGGCTCCTGGGATGTCCAACCCCCCTTGCTACTCAGGGGCACTCTGGCCGCCACCTCTGGGGTAATCCCTGCAGCAGCACAGCCCAGGAACAAAAGATTCTCGTCTAGACGTAGCCATAAAGCGCCCCCCGTGCCTCTAAACCCAGTTTCATTTCGGCCTTAACGACCCAGTCTGGCCTGGGTTAGAAAACGCTTCCGCCCTAAATAGTAAACAAACCGCGCGCCCAGACCCCCACCCCAGCACCCCCTTGCCCACATTGCCCCTTTCCCTCCAGTCTTTCTCAGCGCCCAGCTCCCCAGCCTCTGCCCCCCCTCCCCAGTAAATAAACCCGAGGCCGAGTTCAAAGTTTCCCAGAGCTAAGGAGGAATGTTGGTTGTAAAAATCCAAGTTTATAGCGCACGTGGGAGTTTACAAGGGTATTAAGTGGTGTGGGCTGAGAGTACCCCGGGCCCCTCCCCCTCCCAGGATGGGTTTTGGGGGTGCAGGGGGAACCAAGGGCACTTGAAATGAAAAGTGGTTTGGGGGTATCCTTGGATCTGGGGTTTCTTTGTCACTCAGCCCTTGCGGTCCCTGGGCCGTGTTCATACAAGGGGGCAACTCACAACCCCTACCCAGCACCGCGGAGAGAGTGTCCCTGGGTTCCAGATTCCAGCTGTTCCGTTGGAAGGGTTGGGGGAGCCCTGTTTCGAGAATGGGGGAGGCAGCAAAAAGAAGGTATAGGTCAGGTATTTCACAGACAGAATCAGGATACCAGGGCCAGAGCTCAACCAGAACAGGAGGTAGCACCTTGGAGTGATTTCTTGAGTGGACTCGGGCATAGAGGGCCTTTCTTACAGGGTGAAGGAGAACTTTGAACTTCAAGGGAGTCAAGGGCACCACCCCTTCCCTCTCCCCGCCCCTCTCAGGAATCTGCCCGGCCATTCGAGCCTGGGCCAATGCTCCCTGAAAGGGGGCCGCCCCTGGGGTTTCCTGGTGCCCCGGGGCTGGCTAGCGCTGGTGGTGACCACCCCACCCCCCCCAGCCCGCCAGGATCGCCAGCACGCGACTGCACTCTTTATTATTCATATAAACCTTTGGGAAAGGCAACGCCCGGGAAGTTTTTATAACTTTGTTTGGCATAAAAGTTTTACAAGATTTCCCCTCCCTTTTGTGAAAAACTTAAAAGTTTTGGTCGTAGCATAGGACGAGGTCTCAGATCTTTGGGCGGGAAGGGAGAAAGGGGGGCTCTGGGGCCCCAGCCAGAGGAGGGGGTGGCGGTGGGGTGGGGAGTGGGGGGTGGAGGTGGATGTCTGGAGCTGCTTTTTCTTTGCTTGAAGGCAAAATGGCTTGAAGGTCGGGGTTAATCCCCCCTGAGGCCTACCTTGGACCAGCTTTGGGAGCCAACAGAGTGTGCTGGCCTTTGGGTGCGCCCTGTGCACTCTGCTCCTGAGAGCGTCTCTCACAGAGCCCCAGATTGGGACAATGGTGCAGGAGAGGATCTTTCCTTCATACCCGCTTGTTCTCCTGCCAGCGCTCACTTGAGCTCTCTCTCTCACTCTCTCGCTTGCTCTCTCTCTCTCTCTCACACACACACACACACACACACACAGCCTTGCACACCCCCCCCATAAGCCACTGCACAAAGCGGAGACCCATAACCTTGACTCAGACTGCCGATTTGGGAAGGTCTCTGTACACAGCCCGAGAAGTCAACGGTGACCCTGAAGAAAGAAGCCACAACACTGGGAAACCCCTGCACGGAACCAGAGAAGACAGAGCAGCAATCCAGGAACACAGAGAACAAAGGTGCCCACGGGGTGGAGGGGGACAGGGTCTGAGGCTGGCAAGCCCATGGTGAACCCCTCCGAACTGCCTCACCCTCCATTTCTTCTGACTACAATGTTGGAGGCATCAGTGGGGCTCAACTTCGGCTCATTCTAATGTTCAGCTCTGGACAAAGGCAGGCCTGGGGGCTAAGTCTCCTCTGGCGGGAGGCGAAGAAGGTGGCGATTCCTGGCCCTGGAACCTGGTACTGCAGGGAGCCCTCAGCGTCCGCGGGGAGGTGCCCCCAGAGTTTGCTTTTCTTTCCCTCTAATGGCGACTGCTGAGGCCTGGCCGCTGGCCGACACCCGCCGCAGGCCGCCCTACACTTCGCCTTGTGGATTGCCGAGCTGAGGAGAAGGTCAACTCCAAGCCTGCGCCGCTGGACTGGGGATGCACGCGACTGAGCCTGATGCTGTCCCTCACCCAGCCCAGCACGACAGAGCAAAATACGAAAAGCTAGCAGGGGAAGTCAGAGGGCAAGGAAGAATGGAAACGGACCGGGAAGAGCAAAGAAAAAATTGCACCACGAAGAGGAGAGCAGAAGAGGATGTGGGGAATTAGAAAAACAACAAATTACCAAAGCGAGAGGCTTGGAAAAACAAACAGAAAAGGCATGGGGTTAGGGGGGAGGAATGAAAACTAGAAAGAAGCAAATATAGAGGTGAATAAAGCAGGAAGAAAGGGAGAGAGAGACTAGGGAGAGAGAGAAAGAAACACGGCAAACAGAGGTCTTGGAAAAGGAATTTAGCTCCACGGAGGATGCTTTATATTTTCTTTTTTTCTGGAACAAACCAGCCCAACCACAACCCGACACTGCCTGGAAACCTGACCTACAGGGGCCCCTCAGATGCAAACTATTAAAAGTGGGGAGCAGGGCCTTCCCCCCAAGATAACCTCCCATGTGTTTCCTCCTCCTAGGGCTGCCCGAGGCCGGCTCTGCTGCGGTCTGGTTTCGATTCGGAAAGCGAGATTAAATAAGTGGCGGTTTCGAAGCAGTAGGGCAGAAATCTGGATTCAGAGGTCCCGGGGAGCACTCGGGGTAGAAGTGAATATTTGCGGCTGTGTGCACACAATTACGTGCGCGTCAGACACGTGTGTAGCCCTCAGCATGCGGCTGGTGCGAGTGTGTACAGTGTCCAGAAGCGAGGACGGTTCCACCAGCCAGGCAGCCGGCGTGGCTGAGAGAGGAGACGGTGATCCGACACCCAGAGCACGCCAGAGGCCCCACTAAGCGGCCTCGGCCTCCCGCCTCTCTCTTGTACCTGTTTGGGGGAGGAAAAAAATTTTTTTCTGAGCATTCCACTGTGTAGCTGGGATTTCCCTGCTCCTGCATGAGCAGGGGCAGAGTCTGGTGCCAGTGCCGAAGAAAAGCAAATATTTCCTTCAAATTTTGGGAAGAGGGTGATTTATCTCGGTCTCCAAAGCCCGAGGAAGAAACCCCCGGCCACCAGTGGTGTGATCTCCCGTTCCAATTTGCTGGAAGACATTTGCATGTGCACACTTTCTTTTACCTTCTTGTCACTATTGTGCCCCAGGGGAAGGACACGCTTCCCTTCCCGCCTCCTCTGCGGAATTTCTCAGGTGACTTGTGTAACTTCTTGGGAACTGTCGTGGGGGGAAGCAGGATGGTTCTGGGGCGCTTTGAGAGCGACGGCCGGGGAGACAGCCAGCTGGGGCTCCTGCTTGCTCCTTGGCCTTTGCTTGCTCCTCCTGGCTTCACCTGGGGTACTCCCACCCCAAGGGCTCCAGGCCTGAGCAGTCCCACTAGGACCCTTCTCTCCCTTGCTCTCAGCCCCACGGGCCGGCAGGAGGCCCGCCCCAGCCCTGCAACCCTTCCAGATTCTGGGGACAGGGAGGAAAGGGCCCGGTGGGCCATGGCCAGGCCTTGGTGCAGCCTGAGCTCTGCTCCGCCTGCCCCTGGATTTTCTTGTTCCCCTGTTGAGGTTAAAAAGAGTCAGGCATAGGAGCAGGGCTCTCTCTCTCTCGGCGTTCCCAGAAAGTTGGAGAAAGAAATGGCATAAGAGTCGGTCTGGGGCAACTAGAGCAACGCGGTTCTCCTCTGCACCCCCATCCAGTTGCCAAGGGCAGAGGCCGAAGGGCCTTGGCCCTGTGGGGTAGGGCCGGTGGGCGCCTGGCGGCGGCTGCCGGGACGGCCCTCGGGCGCCTTTGAACGCCAAGCCTGGACAATAGGACAGAAGCTGTCTTTGCTCGTGGCCTCGGGCAAGACCGAGCCCAAGGGGGCAGGGCTGGGACCCAGGCCTGGCTGGACCTCCCTGCACCAGCCCAAACGATTCCCCGGCCGCGTCCCCGCGCACCACGGCCTTCTTTTCATCGCCACTGAGTGAGAGGAGCGAGCCAGCCCGCGGAAACCCAACAAGTTACCCACGCCCCCGCAGCCCCGTCCGAGTGCGAGCGGGCCGGCTCCCGGCTGGCTGGCAGCGCGGGATTTGCGTTTATCTTGCGTAATTAGAGGCGAACGTTTGTCCCAACGGGGGTCCCACTTAAGCTGATGAATTTTATTTCTTTTTTCATTAATGGGCCGTGTTTATCATACTTCTAATTGTTTCAACTTTAAACACTATTCGTTCTTGTGAGGATGAGGGGAGCCTGGGGGCCGGCGGCTCCCTCTCCCCGGGGGGTTATTCCCATTCGGAAAGGCGAGGATTCCCAAGCGACTGCATCCCCTCCCGGGCCTGAAGTGAGAGGTGGGCTTGAGATGGGGGTCCCGCTGAGGGGGGGGGGCGGAGCGACTCCGCTTCGATCTCGGATTCCCCCGGGTTCCTCCTCGGGACTTGTTTTGGAAGAACAATCTGGGGTCAGTCTCGACCCGCTTTTTCTGCAGGCACCCCAACCCCCTCCCAGGCTGGGCTCAGCCTCGTCCCCTGCGGGGGCTCTTCCCTCACTGCCTGGCCCTGGGCGGAGGCGGGGGTAGGGTGGTCCTGCTCCGTAGCTTCTACCACCCAGAGACAAGCCAAGAGCCGCTGAGGTGGCCCAGCAGCACCCGGCCCAGGGAAAAGGACCCACCGGACTCCAAAGCTGGGTGGGGGCAAGGCCAGGGCCCTGGGCCGGGCGGACGCCAGGGGCAGGCGCACCAGGCAGGAAAATAAAGGCGGCCTGAAAGAGGGGGAGGGAACCCTCCAAAGTCATATAATTCTCAATTGCTTTGGTCTTTAATTTCATCGTCCCATAAATGAGGAAATATCAGTTCCCATACTAAATTTTTATCCCCGGCTGATAAATATGACGGGAAATTTTCGTTGGGTCCTCGTAAAAGGGAACGGTTTCGATCAGACTGGTGGGGAAAGACTTATGCAGATAATACAAACAGAGTGGCCATAAAGTCGCTTCCCGCGGGATGGGTGGCTCGACAAATGGCTCCCTGGACTGACTGCGGCCCTGCGCTGTCCCAAGTCTGGTCTGGGGCCTAACAGCCTAACCTTGCCCCGGATAACCCTGGGCCGCCCAGGCCTCGGGGACCCCTCCAAAGGAAAACATAGAAACGGTTCCCATCTCCCCTCCGCTGGCCTGCAGGCCAGCCACGCGTGCACCCCGCCGCCTCACGGCTTTCTGGGGGGCTTGGGGAGCCCCTGCCCCTCCTCTCTCACGCCCTGGGCCGGGGAATCCGGAGAATTTCTTCCTGCGGTGCTATCGGAGCGGCCGCCGGCTTGGGCCTCCTCCTCCTCCCCGCCAGGGCGCTAGGCGGCCGGGGTCCTTTCCTCCCCCCGGCCCGGCTCTGCGGCCCTTGAGGAGGTGGAAACCAGGGGCAGTGCCCAGGGGAGGGCGTGGGGCGGGCCGGGATCCCGCTGTTCTCCAGATTCCGTTTCCTGAGGAAGGGGCGTAGAGTTTAGTTCGCTTTGGGAGAAAGGCGACGCAGAAATGGAAAGAACCGTTTGCAGCATCCATCTCCCCCGCCCTTTCCTTCCCTTTATTAAACAACGAAGACAGCAACAAACAACAGACTGCTTTCTCTTCTCCTTTCCAAAATGCTCCAGGGCCACTCGGTCCCGCTGGGTGTCCGATGTACTCGCGGCCAGTGGCCTGGCTTCCCGCGTGGTACGCGGTTCCCCCAAAGCCCGCCGAGGCCCCCGCGGGCTCCATCTTTCTCTCCTAGAATATTCCTTTTCCAAGGTGGGGTTTGGGGGGGGGGCAAGGTCAAGCGGATCGCAAGGGCCGCTGGGGTCGGGAGCCAAGCGGCCGAACCGGCTCCAAGGCCAAAGCCTTCCCGGCCGGCCCCCAAGATGGTGACCACCCAGCCAGGCGCAGGCCGCAGCGCCCCGGCCTCCAGCCCCTGCGGGCTCGGAGCCTCCTCTCCGGGGGAGCCCTGCCGGGGACTGGAAACCCCCTCCCGGCCCCACCCGAGACGCTGGAGTGTCCCCGGCAACCCCCTGCGGGGAACTCACCCCGCAACCAAAGCGCCCAGACGCGCGGGGAACGCAGAGGCGCGGGGAGCAGAAACTTTGGTCCTGTCCGGGACTCCTTAACTTTGTTTTCCCTCTCGCTGCCCACCTTCTCCCCCGGACCTCACCCCGCTCCCACCCCCAGGGGAAGATGCAGGCGCGGGGTGGGGGTGGACGAGAGTCGCGGAGAGAAGCGGAGGTGGAGAGAGGGGAAGAAGTACCTGGATCGTGTGTCTTGACCTTTTAATTTGAATTTGACTGTTTTGAGCCCCGGGTAGCCTCTCTCTCTCTCTCCCTCATTTCTCCCCATCTCCGCCCCCCTCTCCCCTGGAGTTCCAGGCTGGCTCCCGGGTAAACAAACCCCACTCTCCCCCAAGAACCCCCACCCCACCCCCGCCACCCCCCTACCGCCCCTGCCGCCCGGGGGGCGCTTCCTTTGTTCGCGGGGAAGGGCTCGGGTGCCCCTACCCCGAGGCAGCTGCTAGGTGGCGCTGTTACTCCACGCTGCGCGCTCCGCCTGCCGACAACTTGACCCCGCTGACGTCACGGCCGTCTGAATCATCAAGGCCATTTTCAAATCCCATTGGTCTAGCCGTCACATGGTGAGGACCGAATGCGCGGATAATTATGGAGCTGATATTTCCCCCCCCTCCCCTTCTTTTTCCTCCCGCCCCTCCAACCGCCCCCCTCTCCCGGATGGGGAAAAAAAAAAAAGATGTCAGCTCCTCCGCTGTAGTATTGCTCCTTAAAAACCCCTCTCTCTGAAAATGACATGCCCTCGCAATGTAACTCCGAACTCGTACGCGGAGCCCTTGGCTGCGCCGGGCGGAGGAGAGCGCTACAGCCGGAGCGCAGGCATGTATATGCATCTGGGAGTGACTTCAGCTGCGGGGTGATGCGGGGCTGCGGGCTCGCGCCCTCGCTCTCCAAGAGGGACGAGGGCGGCAGCCCCAACCTTGCCCTCAACACCTACCCGTCCTACCTCTCGCAGTTGGACTCCTGGGGCGACCCCAAAGCCGCCTACCGCCTGGAACAACCTGTTGGCAGGCCGCTGTCTTCCTGCTCCTACCCACCTAGTGTCAAGGAGGAGAATGTCTGTTGCATGTACAGCGCAGAGAAGCGGGCGAAAAGTGGCCCCGAGGCTGCCCTCTACTCCCACCCCCTGCCGGAGTCCTGCCTGGGGGAGCACGAGGTGCCCGTGCCCAGCTACTACCGCGCCAGCCCCAGCTACCCCGCGCTGGACAAGACGCCCCACTGCGCCGGGGCCAGCGACTTCGAGGCCCCCTTTGAGCAGCGGGCCGGCCTCAACCCGCGCGCCGAACATCTGGAGTCGCCGCAGCTCGCGGGCAAAGTGAGTTTCCCCGAGACCCCCAAGTCCGACAGCCAGACCCCCAGCCCCAGCGAGATCAAGACGGAGCAGAGCCTGGCGGGCCTGAAAGGCAGCCCCTCGGAGAGTGAGAAGGAGCGGGCCAAGACTGCCGACTCCAGTCCAGACACCTCGGATACCGAAGCTAAAGGTAAGGCCGCCTGGGCCGCGCGCGCGGGCCCGGCTGAGGCGCTCGGGCACTTGGTCTTGCGGCCCGGGGCGAGAGGGTGGGGGGTGGCCGGGGGCCGGGGTTGGGCCGAGGAGGCCCCGGACGGTCTTGGGAATGCGACCCCCGGCTGGGGCGTGCGGCTCCCCTGTCTGCTGCGCGCCAATGGGTTGGGGAAGGTAATCCGCGACGTGGAGGTGCTGGGCCAGCCCCGGGGCCTTGGGTGCTGAGGCGGGGGGCGGTGCGCACCAGCCGGCAGCCTGCGGGCGCCCGGTGCTGCCCAGGATGGTGCCCGCTGCTGGGCACACGCTGGCTTCGGTTTGCTTTCTCAAGGCTGCTGTTGCTGCTCTCCTGGGGGCCAGGGGTGGGGGAGCCGACGTCCCCCAACCCCCTTCCCCGACTCAGGTCAGAGGCTTGTAGGGAAAAAGAAAGAAGGAAAAAAAAAAGCTTAAAATGGCGATCTGGAGCCAGGGACTGGAGAAGGCTTGGGAGAGATGAGAGATGTCTTTGCATTGCGTTTTCCCAGTTGAAAATTGTTTCCTGCGAAACGCGATTTGTTGTTTGCCTGTGGGTCTGATATGTGCCGTGCGGTTTTGGCTCCTGCGGTTTTTGGCTCGGCCGGGGGGCCTTGGGCAGCCGGGCTGGGGCCGGAAGAGGTGGAGGTGAGGGGCCGCCGGCCACATCCCTCCCTCCTCCAGATGCCTGGCTTGGGGATGGCGCTGGAACCGGGCATTTGGAATGTTGTTTTTTCATCTCCTCTTTTAATTCCCCCCCCCCCTTTTCCTTTTTTTTCCTAGTTAAAGTACGTTCCTTCCCACCCCCACCCCCACCCCATTGGTTTCTGAAAAGCAGCCTCCAAATGAGAATGGGGAAAATTTCTGTGTGCGTGGCAAGCGGTTTTCTCCTGAAAGGGAGTGTGGCTCTGGTTGGATTTCATTGTGGTTTGGGTTGCAGAGAGGAAGCCTGGCCAGAGTTCAAGCTCAGGGTTCAAGATTCATGTCTGCTGGAGGACCTGGGGCCCTTCAGGGCCTCTCTCCCACACCTGGAGGAGGAAGGTGGAGGCTGTGGGGAATGAGTTCCTCGCAAAGTTGGCACAAAACGCACCAGGAAAGGCCCAACAGGGAGGGATGGAGCGGCTCCCCAGGATACTGGCTGCTGGCGGCAGCCGGCGAGGGGCGTGCTGGGTGGAGGGGCAGATGGAGTTCGCAGTGGAGCTGGCTGGGGGCGGCCTGAATCTCCTGGTGCTTTGTATGTGGACGCGACGACGCACACGCGTGCCTGAGGGTGACCTGTGTCACACTCACACACACCCCTCTCCCCCATGTTCTCACATGCACACACACACACACACTCAGGCATGCCTGCTCTCATAGGCACACACAGTCTTTTGGCGGGCAAGAGCAGAGCCTCAACCCTCGGGGGCTGCTCTGCCAAGGTGGCCTGGGCCAATCGGCCCGTGGAGACCCTGGCTGGCCGGAAGGAAGATGAGCATGGGTGTGTGCCTGGAGGAGAGGGCACAGGGGAGCACACACACACACACACAGGGAGCCTTGGTTGTGGCACATGTGCAGTGTGAAGAGCTCCCTCCCTCCGCAAACCCTGAGTTTTGCTGGGGTACAGATTGGGGGTAGGAAAAACTGCTTCTAGCCCCACTAAAAGCAAAGTCAAGGTTAAGAAGTCTGCCTCCTAACTGGGACTGCAGCCACCCAGTAGGCTTCCCTTTCTCTCCTGCTGTTCCCACCACAACCTAAACCCTCCCTCCCCAACTCAGCCCACCCATCACCTGTCCTCATCTTGCCCCAAACCCCATCTTGGTGTCTCCATCAAGCCAAGGGCAAGAGAGTGTTTAACTATATATTTTCCCAATTTTAATTTCTCTCACTTCTCCCCCCTCCAAAAAGAAACCCGCAACAAACCCCCAAAAGAAAATTTAAAAGGGCAGAATTAGATACGGAGAAGCCGTGAGCAATTTGGCAGGAAGATGCAGGTGCAGAAGCAGAATTATTGAGGACAGAACAGTCAGGTTTTCAGACTGAAGCCTCCTCAAGTTTGCCTCCCCCACCCCCACCCCCCAGCGTTTCCTGGCTTCCCTAGGGTCTCTGCCTCACCCCCAGTCAAGATAAGACCCGGGAACCTGCCACCCAGCTTCATTTGGCTCAGGGAGGAGAGAGCACAGGGCTCCTTTGCTGGGTGCTCTTCCGGGTCTTCAGACTCTGCTTCTCCCTAAATGAGATGGCCCAGTGTCCCCCCCCCCCCCCCGTCTCCTGCCTCTGCTTCGTGTCAACAAGAGTGTGTGCCAGGCAGAGAGACTGCCAGTGAGAGAATGGGAAATATACACAATCCCCCGTAGTAGCTCTTGACGCATGCGGACACGTGCGAGCGGATCTCTGTGTGTGCCTGTGTGTGTATCGGTGTGGGTATCTCTGCAGGTACATCCGTGTGCGTACACACCGTCCACACACAGACTGGGCAGGGGACTTCCAAGAGGCTGCATGTCCACAGGCTGTGTCTCTTCCTTGACCTCAGGTCCTCCCTCTGGCCAGGGGAGTGGTCTGAGGACTTCTCAGCCTGCCCCAGAGCTGTTGCCCCTGACCTGCGCTGGGGCACGAGGCTCCCCAGCCTCAGCTACATGCACCTGGGCAAGATGGCAATGGGGGATCCAGTGAGGCAGAGGCAGGAGCTGGGGGCCTGGTGCAGGGACAGCTGGCTGGCCACTGGCTGCCAAGAGCAGGACAGGGTCCCTCCACCGAGCTGAAAGGGGTCAGAGCTCCCTGGGCACTGCTCTGGGCTACAGGGTGGACTGCAATCAGGTCTGGGGCCTGGAAAGCACTTGTCTGTCTCGGTTGGATTTTTTTTCCCTCAAAGCTGGAATGGAGAACAGCACTAAGGGAGGGGCTTGGTGAGGTTTTAGGGCGCCCAGCAGGGTCAGCAAGCTTGGGAGGAGGGGAGTGAGACCACTCAGGACCTGCGAGGTTAGGTTGCACTTGATTAATATAAACTGAATGAACGCTTTGGAGAGAAGGACCTCCCCCCTTTCTCCCCTGTCAATCTAGACCCCAGAGAAATCCTAAGAGCCCCCAAACCAAGAGGACCCCACTGGCCAGCCAGGCCCGCGGGGCAAGAGCAGGTCCCCTGTGCTCCCTCGGCTGCCCCACAGCAGGCTGGCAAAGCAGCAGCGCCTCTGCGAGGGGTTTCCTCTTCGAGGAATACTTATGCAAATAATGTTATTTTTAACAGAGGAGATAAAGGCAGAAAACACCACAGGAAATTGGCTGACAGCAAAGAGCGGAAGGAAGAAGAGGTGTCCCTATACTAAACACCAGACGCTGGAATTGGAGAAAGAATTTCTGTTCAATATGTATTTGACGCGAGAGCGCCGCCTGGAGATTAGCAAGACCATTAACCTTACAGACAGACAAGTCAAAATCTGGTTTCAAAATCGCAGAATGAAACTCAAGAAAATGAACCGAGAGAATCGGATCCGGGAACTGACCTCCAATTTTAATTTCACCTGAGCGCGGGGGCCTCCCCTCCCCCTCCCCCTTCCTTCCTTTCCCCGCCCCTCCTCCCTTTGTGCCTGGTGATATATTTTTTTTTTCCTCCCTGAGTATAAATGCAACGCGCCTGCAAAAAAAAAAGGCAAAGACCTCAGACTCTCCTCCAAGGGACCTATGGTTTGTGCTGTGAGGATGCCTCCATCTAAAGCCTGAGAAACGGGGTGCCGGGGTGTGCAGGGTGGGGTGTGTCCTTGTAGGTGGGGGTGGGAGTGTGGCTGGTGTGTGTGTCAACCCCTCACTCCCCCACGCACGCACACACAGCATTCTGTTCTCCAGAATGTTAAAGTTAAGACTGAACCCACCCGGTTGTAGGGGAAAAACAGGCAGAGGGAGGGTCTGTAATCTCGGAGAGCACATCAGAATCGCTTCTTGTTGCTGCGTCCCCTCCGTAGAATAATAGACGTTTGGGAAAGTTCCACTAGTGTTTGTGTGTTTGTCGTAGCGCCCAGTGCCTCCACCAAACCTCCTCGTGTCTGTGCCTCCCAGTCGCTCTGAGAATCTGCTCGAAGTCTTGTATTCCTACTGCCTTCTGCTTTCCTCCCGTCTCTCCCAGCACCCCCACACCCCCATTCACTACCATCTCAGAAATTCCAAACAGAGGAACAAAAAAATTAAACATAGAACATAGCAAAGCAAAGGCAGAATGCCCGCCCCTCCCCACCCCTGCCCACACACCCTCCAAAATTGCCCTGTCCCTGTCTGGGAGTTGTGTTATTTAAAGATATTCTGTATGTTGTATCTTTTGCATGTAGCTTCCTTAATGGAGAAAAAAAATCCTAATAAATTTCCAGAGTCGTAATCCTGAAATGGGTGGCTTTTTGTTTTTTAGTGTTTTTTTTTTTTTTAGCGACACCCCCTCCCCCCGAGGAGCTGAGTGTGTGGATGTGTGTGTTTTGTGTTTGACTCATCTCCCAGAGCCTTTCTAGAACGTCTCTTGGCGGGTTTAATGTAAGTGAGAGACCATAACGTTGATTTAAATATTATCCAGGTGACCACAATAAGTCAAGGTCATAAAACAGTAATGTCAGGACGGTCTTGGTGCGCGCGAGAGGTGGGTTTTATGATCTGCAAATATAATGTGTGCTGCAGTAAAAGATGCATTTAAAGGTGACTGGAGGAGGGAAAGAGGCAGAGAGCAAGCTGCAAGCTTGAGGAACAGACGGATCTGATTGCCTGGGGTGCTGAGTGGGCGCACCCCACTGCTGCTGGGGGCACCCCAAGAGCCCCCCACCCATCCAAGGAGAGGAATAAACTTAACCGCTGGAGGGGCAAGAGGAGCTCAGCGCCACCCCACCCCCCCACCTCGACAGCAGCGAACAGAAGTGCCGGCAGCAGCAGGAGGAGGCAGCGACAAGGTAAGAGAAGCGGTTTCTTATTCTTCTCTTGGCGGCTGAGTGGGGACTCGCGTCGTCCCCAGGTGCCTGGCGTGCAGCGGGCAGAGCCGGGAGGAAGGTGTTTCAGGCGTTCGAGCTCGCTAGGAGCCCAGGCTTGCCTCGTGGCCACTGGCAGCTGAGGGCAGCGGCCGTGAGCCCCCTCTCCACCCCTCCCCGGCCCATGGCTGTGGGGTTTGGCGGTTAAAGGAGGTGAATTGGTGGTTTTTGGCTTCTTTATCTCCACGGGCATTTAGGGTTGCCTTGAGGCAGACACACAGGTCTAGGTGTCGCTCAGTCTGGTTGTGTGTTGCTGCTGGTGGAGGTGGGGGGTGGTGCTCGAGAGGGCTGGAGCTTCAAGCTTAGGTTTTCCTGCTTTTTGCTGGTTTGGATGTGAGCCTGGTCCAAGCTCTTGGTCCCCACGCTCCCTTGCTTGTGGGGCTTTGCCAGGCAAAGTGGCCTGGCTGGAAGGGACTCCGGAGCCCCGGGCGCTGTGGTGCCGCCACCCATATTCCTCAGGAAACCCACGCCGAGCTGAGAGAGCGACAGGATCAGAGCAGGTCCAGGAGCAGAAGGAACAAGACAGGGGACCCAGCTCAGAGAGGAAGGACGATACTCTCCCCCCCCTTCCCAGGGCCAGGGCCAGAGGCAAGGGGATAGTTCCTAGTTCCTCTGCAGAGCTGGGGGTGGGGCTGGGAGGTAGCGGCTATCGGTCCCATGTCACCAGATTTTCCCTGAGCGATTTGCTTCTTAGACCAGAAACTGATGGAGCAGTCAGCCCCCCCCCCCACCCAGCCACCCAAAGTCTGCTCTGGGTCCTTAGGGAGGTTGTGGGGGCGGAAAGGGGGACGGGGGCTGAATTTCACCCTTCCCCAACCCCCTTCCCTTCTCCTCCGGATAGACGCAAAGCCGAATCTCCCGCCCTACTCGCTCAGCTGATCTGTGGCTTAGGTAGTTTCATGTTGTTGGGATTGAGTTTTGAACTCGGCAACAAGAAACTGCCTGAGTTACATCAGTCGGTTTTCGTCGAGGGCCCCCACCCACCTCTCCTGCGCCTTCCCTCTCAGCGGGGCTGCCCCACAGCCCCCTCCCAGATCAGGCGAAGTGGGCGCAGACCGAGGAGGGCACGCTGGGAGTGGGGCCGCGGGGCAGCCTAGGGAACCCCGCTCTCTGCCTTTTCCTGCTCAGCCTGTCCCAATCCCTGGGACCCAGGGAGACGAATCTGAATCTTGGCTGCAGCTATTGTCTCCTGAGCCCAGCTGATAGACAGACAAAGAAGCCAATTCCAAGGAAATTCAGGAGTTGGAGTACGAGGAGGTGGCCTGGCGGGCCAGCTCTGTCGGGCAGCAGGGTGGGGCAGGATCCCTGGAGCAGCTCTGAAGGACCAAGGGAGCCTCAGGGACAGTGGGCTTCTCCCACTTGCCACCTCCCAGGGAAGATTATGCCTCCAGCTGGCCAGGGCTGGGGCTTCCCCTTAGAAAAAAAGCAGGGTGCCTGTAGGTCCTAAGAGTTGGGGAACTTTGAGCGACAGCCCAGCCACTTCCCTTTGCCCTTCTTGCAGCTCCCTCTCCAAGGGGAGGACATATTTGGGGTGTTCCTAGGTTAGAGGAAATCCATCAAGTCCAAGCAGCAACCCTCACCGACATACCCTACTAGGAAACAGCAGGACAAAACCCTGGCTGTGGTCTCGGGCGCGGGCTGGCTGTGGCCCCCGTAGGCCTCGGTCTGTGTGTCTGCGGCTGTCGGGCAGTTGCCAGTCTGCGCGCTGTGTGGAAATGGCTGGGTGGGCACGGGCTGCCCGCGCCCACCACCCCCACGTTGTTGGGAAGGCTGCTGGCTGATGCCAGGGGTTAGGAGGGCAGGATGATGGGGCAGGGAGCAATGGGAGCAACGTGAAACTTTACAGAGTCCTCCCTTCCTTCCCCTCCCTGCTCCCTCAGTTCTGGCCCTGGTTGCTAGAAAGGTTTTCAAAAGAGGTTTCTTTGCCTGCGGGAGAAAAATGGGGGAGGGGTCAAGGAGACTGGAGAGAGACACCCGTGTTCTCAGAGCTGCTGGGAGGTCAGGTTCTCGGCCCTGATACTTTGGAATTAATTATGACTATTAAAACATTGCAAACTTTCCAACGGGGGGACAAAACACAGACGTGGAGTTCCTTGTTGCCCAAGTTGTCTTCTGGGGCAGGCATATGTGACCTTGTATGAGGCTAGGTCTCTCTCTCTCTGTCTGGGTGCTCTCCAATCTCCTGTTTATATTCCTATCATTCTCTTATTTTTCCCCCCTCTTTCTCACACGAGAGAGATTTCTTTTGACCCCAAGGAAGCTAGAGGAGAACTTGGGAATAGAGCCCCACCCCTTCATAGGGGAAAAATTTTTTTTTCTGTTTTCTTCCCTCAAAGGGAAGTCCTCAGATCTCTATGGCTCCCAGGGAAATGGAAGGCTTCCAGGGAGCCGGGCCAGCTGGTAGGGGGCAGGCAAGGGGCTCCCCAGCCTGAGTCTCCAGCCTGCCCCAGGCACGTAGCCAGTTGGGGTGAAAGGGGATCCCAGGCAGAAGCAGGGCACTGAGGAGCACTTGGCTTGGAGACAGCGGCCCCGATGGGCCGAAATTCGCCAATGAATGGCTTCTGTGCTTTGGGTCCCTCTGCCCCCATTTCCTGTTTCAAAGCTGGTGGGCTTATGAGGGGGGTGGTCACAGAGCCAGGGGTCGGAGTATCCCCCTCCCTAAATGCAGAGGAACGGAGGCAAGGTCTCATAGGGCCAAGGTGAGGGCCAGTCTGGTGGTCTGAGACCAGCCTGGGGCCCTGGGGCTGTGGATCATGGCTAAGGCGATGGTGATTATTTATTCGCTTCGCTAGAAGGGAGTCTTCAAAAGGAACAGCGTGAAGAGGGGAAAAAATTATCTCTCTCGTCTGCGGATATTAAGATGGATTTTTATTTCTTAAAGGACCCTCCCCGCCGAGAGCGCATAAGCGTAAACTTAATATATGCTCCGCAGCCCAACTCCAGAAATCGCAATAAAAGTTAAAACCTCCCCTACTGGTTTTTTTTAATTATGATATGGGAAAGAGGAGCAGGATTTATAGAGCTGAACTCTCGGCGTCTGAGTGTTTGAGACTTGCGGGAGAAGGAAGAAAAGGCGAGAGCTCGCCAAGGAGAGAGCCTTGGTCTCTGAGCTGTCTCGCAGGCTGCGGGGCTCGGGCACAGCCCGGCCCGTCCGCTCTGGCCTCCGCGGGACCTCGCCCCGGCCCACGGCCCACGGCCCACGGCCCACGGCCCACGGCCTCGCCTCGGCTTGGAGATGCAGCCCTTCTCCGGAACAGGTGAAGGGGGCGGCGGCAGCCGCCGCCGCGGGCTGCCCGGCGGCTGCCTAGGGGGCTGCGGGGGCGGGGGAGGAGGGCGCCAGGGCGCCCGGCTTTGTGTGGGTCCCAGGCAGGGACCGAGGTCTGAAGTCCCGAGCAGTGCTGCAACCCAAGTGCGGCCTGCCGGGCGGCTTGTCTAGAAGGGGCGCCCCGGCCGGCCGGGGCGCGGGAGCACCGACCAGGTGGACTTTGTGGACTGGCCGCAGAAGGAGCCGAGCAGGCTTGGCGGGCTGTGGCCAGCAGCGAGGCTGAGGCAACCGGATGTTGAGTCTGTAGAAAGGACCTTGAGGTCTGCTGGGTGTCTGGGCTGTCGGGGGCGGCGGCCCAGAGCGTGGAGCGGGCAGTGCGCGCGGGGCGCGGCGGGCGGCGTGAGCGAGGCAGCAGGCCCCGCGCACCTCTGCGGCTGCGGGGCCGTGTGCTGGACGTCTGAACCGAGGCCCGCCACTGGTCAGAGCATGGAAAATAAATGCAGTTGCAGGTCTTTCTTTCTTTGCTTTTTTTTTTTTTTTTCTTGTCCACTTAAGAGGTCCTTTTTTTTTTTTTTTTTTTTTTTTTTTTTTTTTTTAATATCTGTCTTTCGGAGATACCTGGATTTGGTCCAGAGCAGGTTGCCCGCGGGAGGGCCCCGCGAGCGGTAGCGCGCGAGGGAGGGAGAGAGGGAGGGAGGGCGAGATGGAGGGAGGGAGGGAAGGAGGGCGGGCGGCGGCGGCGGCCGGGGCTTCCCTCCCCGGGCGGGAGGCGGCTGCCCTGCATCTGTGGCCGTGGGGAGCCGAGGAGCAGGTAACGAAGCCGCTTCCCGAGGCGGGACTGGACCAAGCCAAAGGGACCGAGTCTTCGGGGTCTCTGCCTGAGGCCCTGGCGGGAGAGAAGGTAGGGAGACCGGCGCCCGCCAGGCCTGGCCAGCGAGGCCTGCGGGATCTTGAACCTGCGCACGGTCTCGGGCTCACACTCATGCTGTTGAGTCTGTGCGGTTTGCCTGTCTGTCTGTCTGCCTGTCGGTCTGTCTGCGACGCCCGGAGCTCTGGGCTCTCCTTCCAAAGGCTTGTTGGGGGTGGGGGGGGGGGAGGAGGAAAAAAAATCGGGAAAATTCGTCGGCATGTGCACTTTCATTCATTGGATTCTCCGCGCCTCGGCGGGTTGCTCGCGACGCCCCCAAGCTGGAAGGGCGCTCCATCGCGGCCGCGGGGAGTCCGGTGCGCCGGCTCCCTCCGCCACCGGCTCCAGGTTCGCGAGTCGCCCCGAGGTTTGAGGCCAGACAGCTCCCAGTCGGGCAGGGAGGGCGGGGGAAGAGGCCAGCCGCTCTGGCCCCTTGATTGTACTTCGGGCCCGTATTGTCTCTCTCTCCTTTCGCCACCTCCGCTTCCTCAGTCTGGTCTCCAAAGTCACTGCAAATTTCCTTGCGACACATACATCACACAAAAGATCAGGTAACAGCGCGCTCAGGCACACGGGGGGCTCCGGGGCGGGCGGCCCCCCTCCGGGCCACTCCCCGGGCTGGGAAGCCAGACCGTGCTGGGGGAGCCGGAAATAGCCCCGTTTGCTGCGCAGCGGCGGGGCGGGGGCGCCGGCGGGGGAACGCAGGCCCGCAGGCCGTGGCGTTGAGAGGGCCACGTTCACAGGCCCTGGGGCCTGGCCCCTGGTGTGCGGGGATCCCGGGTACCCACCTGGGGGTGGGGGCAGGCCGCGGGCTCCTCGCGCGGCAGCGCAGGCCGGGAGCACTCCGTCTCTGTTTCCAGCGCAGGCCTTAGCCAGGAGTTGTCAGTGGGTGTGTTTTTCCCAACAAAGAGGGCTCAGGAGGCAGAAGGGGGGAAAGTAGAGGGGAGCCGGGGAGGGGGCGGGGAAGGGGGAGAGGGCGGCCGGGAGGTGGAATGAGCCCATTTCAGGGGGAGACGCAAAATGAAAGCGAATGGAGTGCGGCCGCCTCCTCCGCGCAGGGCGGGTGCTGAGGAACCGGGAGCCGGCTCCCTGCCTGCGGGCGGCTGGGATGGCCCGCTGGGGGCGGGGGGGGGGGGGGGGGGGCGGGCGGAGAGCCTGTTTTGAATTTAATCCGAACTTGACGGTGTGGATGGAGCCCGCAGGGAATTTAAATCACTAAAAAGGAGGCGCGTGGCAGGGGGAGGGGACGACTCTAACCTGTCCGTCTGTCTGTCTGTCTGTCCTCCGCATGGTGCTAAGCTTGGTTGCGGTCTCTAGTGCTCCGGATAGAGGTGATGGAGTCAGGGTCGCCCCTCCCCCTCGGGGGGCTCTGCGGAGCTCAGTGGAATCTTTTGGGGGTGGGAGGGGAGTTCTAAAATCCAGAGCCCAGGCAGAGCTGCTGGCTGGCTAAGGCTGGGGTTTCAACCCTCCCCAGCAGGGGACTCTCAACTGCCCCAGTCCCTCAGGTTTGCCCCCCGCCTGCTGAGGAAGATGGGAGTGGTGTGAATGAGAGAGCATCCCAGAGTCATCAGCCTGAGTAACTGGGCTCCAGGAAGAGGAGACCCGCCTCCTTGGTGCTCCCCCCACCCCCTACCCCCCCACACCTACGCGCCTGGATTTGGGGGAAGCCGGGAAGCCTGTTTCAAACACTAACCTGCCAGCCTGTCTCCAGATGTACGGAGTGGGGGCTGCAGCCCACATGCACTAGTGGAACCTACGGGGCCCACGGCCTGGTGCTCTCCCAGCCTCTCCAAGGCCCCCTCTCTCTCTCAGCGAGTTCTAGGGAACGCAGAGCACTGGGCCAGGAGGGGGCAGTGGGCGAGGCCTGCTTCCTGGGCCACAACTGTGCCTGTGTCCCGGTGGGGAGGGTGCAGGGTTTCTGTTCCTGGAAGAAGAAGGCGACAGCCCCTTGTTGGCTTTGCGGGGGACTGGATGGCAGCGGGGGATCCCGGCAGGCAGTGTTCAATGGGGGTGGGTGAGAAGGGGGCGGCTCTTCCCAGCTGGGATGTCTGTTTCAGGGGCTCTCCCCAGTAGCAGAGGTCCATAGCAGGGGCTCCTCAGAGACTTCTTCCTCCTCCCGGAAAGCTGAGGTTGGGGCAGGCAGGCCCTGCAGCTGGTGAAGAGGCAGAGGAGCAGCACCGGGAAACCTTGTTCCTCTTGTGTTTCTTCGCCCCTGGACTGGAGCGTGGCGCAGCCCCCAGCTGCCCCGTGAGGCTTCTGGGCCCACCGTGGGATTCTAGACCCCAGAGGCCTAGTGTGCCCACCAGAGCAGGTCTCCTGGGAGGGGCAGGAGAGGCGGCCTCTTCCTCCTTTGTGTCCAGACAGAAGTGGTCGCTGCGCCGGGAGCTGGGCCCGCGGCAGAGGCCCGGCAAGCCGGCGGGCTGCACAATGCCACGGCTGCCCGGCAGGCTCGAGCCCTGCCCCGTCCCGCCTGCGTCTCCTCCTCCTGCCTTTCCTCCACCTTGCTTCGCTCTCCGCTGGGCTTCCTCTCCCTGCTCTCCCATCCCTTTGCATCTCGCCTGCCTTCCTTGCTTCAGTTCTCCCCCTGTTCTCTTCTTCTGTTGCTCCGTCTGCTTCTTTCCTTCCCAGAGCCTGGCGCCGTTTTTTGCAGTAGGTCTGTCCTCAGGGCTGTCTCAGGCAGGCTGTTGTCCCCTGATGTCCTGTTGGTCGCAGTCTGGCCCTGGGCCCCACTGAAGGCTAAATGTCTTTGCTCCATCGCTGCCAGCAGCCGCCCAAGAGTCCGCCAGTCCCCAGCCGGCAGGAGCTGGGGGAGGTGCTGGCTGCTGCGCTGGGGACTTGGAGAAAGCCTCAGCAGAGGCGCTGGAACCTCTTGTCTTTTCCTTGAACTAGTGAGGGAGATTTTTTGATTGACAGCTAACCCGACTCCATCAAGGCCAAAGAGATATTCCGTTTCTTGCTGTAATTCGCATTTCCTAGGCCAATTCAGGCCAAGGCAGGGGAAGACAGAGCCCAGGGGGACGAGGCGGAGGCCCCCAGGGTCGCCTCTCCCCAGCCAGACACTTCCCTCCTTCCCCCCCGTGTGTCGAAATCCCAGCCCCGCTAGACCGAAAAAGAGAATAAGCAGAGAGGGGGGGTGGAGCAGTGACTGGGGAGAGGGCCTGCAGAGCTGGGGTCGCCGCCACGCTCTGCTGCTGCCCTCCCCCCAACTTTTCAATCTCCCCCTCCCCATGCTACACTGGCCAGCCCTTCTCCACCACAGAGGAGAGACAGCGCCACAGAGATGCAGGAGGGAAGCAGCCCCCGCCCCCACCCTTGGCGTTTGGTCCCCTCCAGGGGACAGGAGAGGGAGTGAGAAGGGCAGGCGTGGCTGGGGACCTGGCAGCCTCCTTCCCTGCTGCGTTCTGAGCCTGCATCTCAACCCCAGCTTCTGCCTGCTTCCCTAGCACCGTCTGAGACCCTTCCCTTCTGACCCCGACCCTGCACCCCTCCTTCAAATGCCCTCTGCCGTATCTAGGCGCACTGTATCTGTGGGGCCGTCACCTGCCCCTATCCTCCCCCCCAACACCCCTGTCCACTATCCTGCACCCACACTGGCCATTTCCTGCTTGCCTGAAGCCCACCCCACCCCCCTTGACTGAGCCACCCGGGGACAGTCTGATGGGAAGCAGAGGACTGGGCAAAGAACCCCAAATTCAAGGAGCAGGGTAGCAGCCCAACTTATGGGGGAGCAATCTAAGTTGTCTGATGCTCTCCCTGCGATCATGGCCGCCCCTCCAGAATCCCTGCATCCGACCCCCAAAAACCTGCTTCCTCCCTCCCCTCCGTTGCTTTTTTCCCGTTCCAAAAACAGCCTACAATTTTATTTAATGAAAGACACATTTATGAACAATCAAATGATCCTCATAAAAATTTTATTGAAGGACGTAAAAACAAGCTACTTGCCCACGACCGAGGTCGCTCTCTCGCCTCGCCCGCTCTCACCCTGGCTCTCTGCAGGCAGAGCCCCGGGAGTGACTTCTTTTTTTGGGGGTGGGGGGTTGTGTCGCAGAGCTGGAGCTGGGGGCAGAGGCGGGCTGAGCAGGAAGACGGGATGCGAACGCTCCCCACTTAAGTTGTGCAGGTCTCTCCTCCACTTCTTCAAGCTGGCAAAGAAACGTAAATAGATACAGACAATAAATTTAAAATAAAGGCGCTTGTGCTCTCCGTGCCAACGCAAAGAGAAGACTTCCGAGGCTGATGACGGAGGGGCCTGCGAGCCCGAAGTTGCACCCCTCCCACCGCCGGGCCACCTTCCCCCGCTTCCCCTGGCCCAGATTTGGGGGGCTGAGCCGGCCAGTGGCAGGAGGGCGCTCCCCGGTCCCTCCTTCCCTTCCTCCAGTCCCCTCCCACCCGCCCTCCCTCGCTGCTGCCGCGGCTCCTGAGAGAAATACATACAGACACACTATTTAAAATCGCATTTTTAAAAAGCCACGTTCCGAGCTGACAATCGCTGGGCTCGGCTCGCGCAGAGGCTGCGGGCGCGTCGGGGCCGACAGAGACGGATTACGTCAAGAAATAGTTCCTCCACCTACCTCGGCCGGCTCCCCGCCCCTGCGGGCTCCCGCGCCCGCCCGGCCCCGGGGGTCCCGCAAGCCGGGCCTCGGGGAAGCGGTGGGGGCGGGCGGTCCCCCCCGCGTTCCCCCCCAAATCCTCACGCTGTTGGGGCGGGGGAGGCCATCTGCTTATGGGTGGACATGGGCAAGGGGCGTCCTGTGGCGAGGTCTCAGCCGTCCTGAGCGGAGGGCCGGCGCCTGGGGTCCGGAGTTGCGGACCCCCAGGAAAACGCGGGTCGCGGGGATCAGCAGAGAGAAGAGGGTGGGAGGGGGGGGTGAGAAAAAAAGCAAGGGAAAAAAAAAGCCCCTGCGCATTGATCCGCGCCGTATTTTTGGGTAAATACGATCACGTGGGGGCCGGGGAGCCAATGAGCTGCGGGGAAAAGGCTGGAAAAATAATTACCTGCCTTGATTGTTCTGTGAGCAGATAAAAAGTACATATACAGTTCATACAATAATCTTATGTATGTAAAACCCTGTTACGATGTCGGCGACGGGGCCCATCAGTAACTATTACGTGGACTCGCTCATTTCGCACGACAATGAAGACCTCCTAGCGTCCAGGTTTCCGGCCACCGGGGCTCACCCCGCCGCCGCCAGACCCAGCGGGCTGGTGCCGGACTGTAGCGATTTTCCGTCCTGTAGCTTCGCGCCCAAGCCGGCCGTGTTCAGCACGTCGTGGGCGCCCGTGCCCTCGCAGTCGTCCGTGGTCTATCACCCGTACGGCCCCCAGCCCCACCTCGGCGCCGACACGCGCTACATGCGGACTTGGCTCGAGCCGCTGTCCGGCGCCGTCTCCTTCCCCAGCTTCCCGGCCGGGGGCCGTCACTACGCCCTCAAGCCGGACGCCTACCCCGGGCGCCGCGCCGACTGCGGCCCGGCCGACGGCCGCAGCTACCCGGACTACATGTACGGCTCGCCCGGGGAGCTGCGCGACCGCGCCCCGCAGACACTGCCCTCGCCCGAGGCGGACGCCCTCGCCGGCAGCAAGCACAAAGAAGAGAAGACCGACCTGGACCCCAGTAAGTTGGGCGCAATTTCCCTTTACAACCGGCGCGGGCGGGGGTGGGGGGGTAGCCGGATTACAGCCCCTCGCAGCGGCGCAGGGAGCGCGGGAGAGGGGCGAGGGCGAGGGGGCGAGGACTCAATAAAAGCGAATTACCTTAGGGAGCTGGGCAGGGGCAGGAAGATCTGAGGAGGGGGCCCAGGGAGCCAGGTTAGGAGAGAGAGGGCCTGGGGGGGCTCCTCGAGCAGGAGCTGACTTTGATGAGCGAGACCCCTGTTCTCCACCACCACCACCCAGCCTCAGCCTAGGCTTTCTGGCTCAGTTCTCCACTTTCGAAGAAGAAATGCATTACAGAGCCAGGGGAGCACTGGGGCGGGGGGCGAGGTTTATTTTGGGGCTTTGAGATGGGATTGGGCACAGAGGTGAGGAGAGAGGAAATACCCCAGAGAGAAAAGCCACCCCCCTACACCTGGCAGTCAGCCTGGGGGTCTTCCCCCCCTAAGGAGAGAGCCACAGCACAGGAAAGGTCTCTGGACTGCTCCCCCAGGGAGGCTGGGACAGTTCCCAACCTGGGAACTTGGAGAGCTCAGGACTTGCAAAGAGAGAAGTGGGGTGGTCCGAGCCTCCTTAAACTTGAGAGCCCTCTTCTGAAGGTCTGTCTGCAAGGAGGAAGACTGCAGGATGGGGGCTCAGGGATGAAGAGGGGTCAGGAACCCATGCCCCATGCTGGGGACTCACTCCCAGCCCAGCCAGGGAGAGTGGAACCCCCTGAGTGTGGCAGAGGAGGGGGCTTGGCTAGCGTAGGTGGGGGGCAGGTGGGAGCCCCAGGGTCAGAGAAAGAGGGAAGGCGAAGCAGCAGGGGCAAGCTGCAGCCCCCTGGGTGTGAGGAAGTACTTGGGGGAGTCCTGAGGGGCCAGGGCCTAATTCTTTCTCTCTGAAGCCTTCCATCCCTGCCCTCAGCTACTCCCAGAAACCTGAAATTGGAGGCTTGGCTCCCACAGAGCCTGTCCTGGGGTTGGCAGGAGGGGGGCACTGGAGGCCAGCAGGAGAGCTGAGATCTGGGCAGGGGGATGCCCTCCCCAAGGCCAGCAACAGCTCTCTGGGGAGAGGCAACAGTACCCTGAGATTTCGCCTCAGCAGGGTTGCACCCAGAGCGAGCGGCGCTGGAGCTGGAGAGGGTGCATGGGGTGGGGTGGGGGCTTGGGGGGACTCTCAGGGCCAGGAAGCAGAGCTACTGAAACCTCAGGACTTGGTGGTAGGCTGGGAGGGTGGGAGGGGGCAGAGGAGGAGGGAGGTGGGGAGGAGGGGGACCTCGCTATAAAAATAAAAAACAAGAGAGAGAAGCGTTTATGGGCCTATGAAGCGGTTGGGAATTTGGACTTTTTATGAGGATATTCTCGAATTACTACTCTTGAAGCTGAGAGGACCAGACTGTAGGGGCTTTGAATAGCTTCGGATTTCCTACAGTTTTAGGAAACTGAAAAGGGGGGAGAAGGGGGGGCAGAATGAAGGAGGAGGAAGGGGGGAAGATTCCTACAGCAAAACGTGTCCAAATTCAGGTTCAATTCTTGGGTTTGGGGAGCCTGGCTAAGCCTGGGGGTGGGGAGGCACAGGTCCTAGGCTACAGAGGGGGCTCCGCTGACCCCTGTCTGTGTTTGGCCCTCCAGGCAACCCCGTAGCCAACTGGATCCATGCCCGCTCCACGAGGAAGAAGCGCTGCCCCTACACCAAGTACCAGACGCTGGAACTGGAGAAGGAATTTCTCTTCAATATGTATTTAACCAGGGACCGTCGGTACGAGGTGGCCCGGGTTCTCAATCTCACCGAGCGGCAGGTCAAAATCTGGTTTCAGAACCGGAGGATGAAGATGAAAAAGATGAATAAAGAGAAAACCGACAAGGAGCAATCGTAAACCCTGCCCCAGCCTGGAAAAAGCAAAACAAAAACAAAACAACAAAGCAAAACAAAACAAAACAAAACCCGCAGAAATATCCCCATGCAGGCGGGAGAAAGCACGGAAAAAGAAAAGGAAAGAGCAAGATAGAGAAAAGCCAATCAACTTAAAAAAAAAAAAAAAAAGAGGAAGGGGAAGAGGAGAACTCTGCGATATGGGAGGGCTCAGTGTTGAGAAATTGGTGTTTTAGAGTTAGTTCTACCCAGCAGGGAGGAGGTGCGGAGAGACCCTCGCCCTCGGCCCCCAGCGCAAGTGAAATAAATGACACACACAAATGTGATTTTTTTTTCCTCCTTTCTTCAGATAAGCCAGTACTTGAATCGCTATATTTCTATTTCTCCCCCCTGTATTGTACTTGATCTGGGCCATCCCTTCCCTGGCCTTGGACGCGCTGCGTGCAGATTTTGTACAAAAAAGAACACACACACACTTACACACACACACACACACACACACACACTCTGATTCCCGGCCCAGGAGCTGCGGGGCGAGGGCCCGAGCGCGGCAGGCTGGGTCGGGCGGCGAAGGCCGGCACCTCGGGCGTGTACATAGCCGCGTTTCCTCTCCCCCCACAGCGTCTGTCCGTCCTGTAACGTGCTCCTGTTTGTTATGGTAGAACAGCTCTGTGTTAATATATCGAAGTCACTGAAAAAAACAGAAACTCAATGGCATCCAGTTCTCGTTATTTCTCCTCCCTGTGGCTTGCACGCTGCTGCTGCCATGGAGGATGCAAGTGGCCAGGTTCGCTAGGGGAGGCTGGAGCCAGAGAAAGGGCTCCCTCTGCTTCTGTGCGGGCTGGGTGGCTGAGGGCGGGGGCTGGCTGGGCAGGGGGCGTCCAGGGGGCAGGGTGGAGGGCTGCTGAGGCCGGGCCCAGCTTGTGCCTGTCCCGGCTGGCTGCCTTCTAGTTTCCTGATGGTTGGATGCACGGGGTTCGGGGCGGGGGGGGGGGCATGGCATGAGTGGCTTTCGCTGGCTGTGATTAATTGTAATAATTTATGAGTACATGAGATCGGCCGAGAGAGATAGGTGAACGTGGAAGTTGGGTGCTGGGTGAGGTCCTGGGCCCGGCTTCTGGGCTGGCTGCACTGGTACCTTGCTGCTACCAGGCATGGCTGGGGGGTGGGGGGAGGGCGGGGGTCAGCTAGGAGGAAGGCCAGGCAGGCCTCAGGGAGCCGGATGGGCACTGGGACTGCACTGGAGGAAAAAAAGAGAAATACGGGGAGAGGGAGAGGGAGAGAGCAGAGGAGGTGGCCAGAGAGGATGAAGGGAGGGAAGAGACAGGCGGCTGCGGCCCCTGCTTCTCCATGCATCCTCCGTGTCTCTCCTGGCCGCCTTCTCACTCCCTCCGGTGTTCAGTGTGAATGTGGCTCTGGGGGTGAGCGAGCTTGAGCAGGGCAGCTGCACCGTTTCTGGGAGAAGCTGAGGCCAGGGCCCAAGGCGGCGGAGTTGGATGCTCCCTGGTGTTGCGGATCCTCGTGCTTAGAGGCGGCGGGGAGTGTGGGGGACAGCCTGGCGGGGCCATCGGCCCGCGCGCTGCACCCGGAGCCCCTTGCCTTAGAACCAGCGGTTTTTCGTCTGCTAACGAGAAGCAGACACGGGCTGCCTCGGCCCCGGCACCCCCTTTCTCGGAAATCCCCCAATCTGGAAACTATTAAAATCAGACTGCTCGAAATATAGCCCTTTAATATCTCGGGCTGCCCATTCTGCTGAGGGTGCAGGGTGTTGCCCGGAAGCGTCCAGGCATTCCGCAGGGAAAGAGAAAAATATAGTTGGGGGTCCCTGGCGCACGGGCTGCCTTAACCCCCAGAGCATCACCTCATGGGGTCGGGGAGGCTTTGGTGGGGACCTGTGGGGGACAGCCCCGCCACTGGCACTGGGACCTCCTACCCTCCCCTTCCACTGAGGCTGGAGGTAGGTGGGGAGCTGGGAAAGTTCTGTTCCCTCCATGATATCTGGGCGAGGACAGTCAAGTCACAGAGAGGGACCCAGCCGGGGCTGCAGGCTGGGCCCCCTCTGCGCCACACAGGGGCTCTCCTCCTGCTTTTCAGAACCATTGTTTTCTTGGTCCCGCTGAAAGGTGCTTTGCCTGAAGCTCTCCCTTTTTCTGCACTGCCTCCGCGCCGCCTTGGGCCGCCTCTTTGGTTCTGGAGCCCTGGCCGCAGTTGCACACTCAGCGGAGGCCAGCGCGCCCCTCTGCCTGCCTGGGATGCGGGCTCCTCTCGCCGCTCTGCCCGGCCGCCTTTCCCCAGCCTCCACCCCGCCCCTGCGCCAAGGCCCTGTCGCCTCCCCTCTCGGCGGCCGTCGGCACGGCCTGCTTCCTGCAGCCGGCCCCGGGGGCCGGCCTGGCTGCGGGCAGAGGCGTGGGCTCCAGGCGCAAGGCCCACCGGGGCCCGGCCAGCCGCTGCGTCCCGGCCCAGCCTCCGGGCCCGCAAGTCAGGCATGGATTGGATTTTTATTCGCGATCACTTGTGGATGAAAGCGACCGTAACAACACGACACACATCTGGGGAAAGAAATGAAAGCTGGGGCAGGGGTTGGGGGGGCGGAGAGGAGCTAACAGATGCCCTCCCCCCTCACCTTCCCCTCCCCGCGCCCCTCTGCTCCTTTGTCAGAATCACAAAACCCTAAAGGTTGTTCCACTTGGGAAGGCAGCGGGGATAAGGTACATTTCCGCAGCCCCGAAATGCGCTTTTATGGGGCTGTTTGTTTCCCTGCTCGGGGGTTCTGAATGGAGCCGAACAAAACAGCAGCGCGGAGCTGGCTAGACGTCTGGGCTTAATTGTTTTATGGTTTAAATAAGGTGGACACTCTTTCCTTTGAAATCGGATTATAGGAATGTTTTGTCTATGGCCCACGGAGCACAGGACCTCACTGGCTGGGAGGGAGAGGTGGAGAGAGCGCGCGCGAGGGACGGGCTACAAACCGGGGGGCAAACGGCCTGGAGCGGTCAGTCCCACCGCAAAGTCCGGCAGGCGGCGGCGGCGGCGGCGGCGCGGGCGGTGCGGGGCCGGCGTCCGGGTAAGCGCGGCGGGGAGGCCGGCGTGCGCGCCGCGGGCGGGCGGCCGTGGGAGCCTCAGGCAGCGCGTCCGCGTGCGCCGCGGTGCTCCGGGCGCCCAAACGCCTGCTTGCGGGAGGGGGCGGGGGGCCGCCGCAGGTCCTTTGCACAGTGTCTCTTCAAGCAAGAAGGGAGGGTAACAAAAAGAGAAGGCAGTGTGGGGCCTGCCACAAGATTTATTTCGAGAACTTAGAGAACGAGCCGTCCTGGGGGCAACTCCCTTGCCCGTGAGTCCCGCTCCTCGGCACCCACCCGGAGGCTCCTGCCTCCCACTTACCACCTTAGGGCCAAGCCTGGGGGACCTCTGCCTCTTTTTTTTTTTTTTTCCCCCTGGCCTAGCTGCATTGGGGCAAGTGGACGCGAGGTGGCGCTGTTGCTCAATGTTAGAGGCGGCGCGGGCCCCGGCCGGCCTGGCCGCACTGACGTCGAGAGGCCCGGCCCGGAGCCGCGGGGAGAAGGCCCCGCGCCGCGCCGCGCCGCGGCCCGGCCCGGCGAGCCTGGCTCTGAGCACATCCACGCTCTCACCTGCCAGGCGTAAATAACGCGCGAGTGGCAGCGGGAGATGGGCCCTGGCTCCGGGAGCGGGCTGAGGAGGCGCAGGAGGGCGGGCATCGCCAACAATCGCTTTGCGCAGGAGATAAGAGCAGAGCGGACGACGCGTAATTAACACAAAAAGGCGGACTGACCCGGACAAACGAACATAAATCCGCGGTACCTAGACGGGCGGTGGGACAGGGACGGCCCCGGCGAGGATGGCTGCGTGCGGTTCCTTTATTTCCAGGCTCAGAGCGAAATAAATCAGAAACGAGTACAAGGAAGGAAAAAGAAGAAGAAGAAAAGCAAAACAAAACAAATGAAAGAGAGGCGAGAGGTCTCCTAAAAGGGGAAACCGAGTCTGACCAGGGGTTGCAGGGCTGCTGGGTGCCGCCGGGCAGGCGGCGGTGGCGGCACACTCGGGACAGTCGCATTCCAGGACACAAAGGCCCGGAAGAATAGCTCTCTGGTAGAGTTTTCCGCTGGACCATAAAATGTCAAAATATCCCCCCACCCCACCCCTAAAAGATAAGGCGCAGGCCCCAGAGCGAATCTGGCCCTCGGGGCTTCCTCTCTCCAGGAGGAGAGGAGAAAGTATTTATGACAGTCGCCGGCACAGTCGCTGGGAGCCGGGAGTCCACTCTGCTGTTCCAGCCCCAGACGGGTAGGCTCGGGAAAGGCCAGGCTGCAGGCGGGGGATGCAGCGGGCGCTGGGAGCGGTGGAGACGCCCTGCGGTGCGCCCACCGTCACTGTCTTTGCAGGCCTGGCCCTCTCGCCTCCACCACTCCCCTCTGCTGCCCAGGGACCATAGTCCCTTATGTGTGCGGTTTTGGGCAGCTGGGACACAGACAGATCCTGGAAGGGTGTCATACTGCAATCCCAGCGCTGCCCTGCCCTGCCCTGTCCCCAGCTCCAGAGCTGGGCTCCAGCCTGGGGGGCAGAGACTTCCTGGTTTGCTAACCACCTCCTGGCTCACCCACTCCTGAAACCCCAGCCTGTGGATGGAACGCAGGGAGCAAGTATTTGTCCTGGTGCAGAGACGGTGCATATGTGTGTGTGTGTCGGGCAGTGTGCACCATGCGTGCCCAGTGTCTGCAAGGTGGTGGGATACTTGCAGGCACACGTGTGCCAGTTTACAGGGGGCATGCAATGCACTTGGTGTGTGTCAGGGTGAAGAGGCAGCCTGTAGTGTGTGTGTGTGTGTGTGTGTGTGTGCACATACCCCAGTCTGCTGAGGGAGAGGACTGGAAAAACCATTCCTACTCGTCGTCTTCATTCGTATGCACACAGCACACATGCACACCACGGCGCTCACTGGCTCCCTTTTGCTCTGTTGCCTGTGCGAAGCCCACTTAGGGCCAAGGACGGGCAGTGAGGGGCCGAGGGCCTTTTATCCTCTGCGATTCACTTGAGTTTGTCCAGTGTTGGGGGATGTGGGGAGCCCCCCAGAGCAAGCGTGGGTAAATATTTAAAGAGTGTCTGTTGACAGTTCCCGTCCACCTCCTGGCCAGGGCAGCCTGCCTGGGGGAGGGGGGAACGGTAGAGGAGCCAGGGGGTCCCTTCAGACTGAGCCGGCAATGCCTATGGGGCCAGAGTATTTGGGGACAAGTAAGAGGCCTGCTTTAGTCCCCTGCGACCCAGAAAGAAATGGTCTCCTGAGAAGAGACACCATGCACCAGCCCAGCCAGCAGCCGGGGATACACAGGCTGCCCTCACCTTCTTGGTCCCCACAGGCAGCTTTGCTGCCAGCCCCCCCCCCACCCCCGGCCCAGCCTGTGGCCGCTGCCTGTCTCCTGCCCAGTGGCCCTGATGGGCTGTGTGGGGTGCCCGCGGAAGGCAGGCCGGCAGGCAGGCAGGAGCCTGTTCTGCATCTGGGGAGGGCAGGGCCGCTGCAGACCCTGGCAGGGGCTGATGCCTGGGGTGTCTGGGGCTATGGTGGGCTTGTTTCTCCCCAAAGTCTCCCCCCCACCACCACCACCACACACATCCCCCTCCAGGGGGCTCATCTTTTGGGGCTAGGGACCCTGCTCTGGCATAACCCCATTTAACCTCTTTGGAATGTGTTGTACCTGTTGAGGTAACCCGAGCTGACCTGCTGGTCAGGTACGTCTCTGTCTCTCAGGCTCAGAGGGAAAAGAGAGGCACCTTTGAATCTGAACACGTACCTTGGAAAAGCTGGCCCCGGCCATTAGCTGGGGCTGGCTCACCACCCCCCTGCACACACCACACCCCCATCCCTCCCCCTCTCCTCCCTCCCCTTCCTCCAGGTCCCCCCAGCCCTGAACCCCTCAACCCCCGCCATCTCTCTCTCCCTCTCTCTCTCTCTGTCTCTTCTCTCTCTCTCTCTCTCTCTCTCTCTCTCTCTCTCTCTCTCTCTCTCTCGCCTGTCTTCATGTCGTGGATTGATGAACGCGAATCGCGTGTAAGCGCCGCCACCGCCGGGAGTCTGAGGAATTCGCCTGGGCTGTTAAAGGAAAGAGCTAAGTGAGCGAGCTCTACCTACCGGCAGTGAGGGAGCCGCCGCCGCCGCGCCGCCCGCCCCAGCCCGAAGCTCTGCCGCGCCGCCCGCGCTCGCTCGCACCGAGGCGCCCCCACCTGCCCGGCCCCCAGCCCAGCAGCCCAGCCCCGTCCCGGGGAGCCGGCCGGCCCGGGGTTCGGTCCCGGGGGGAGGGGAGTTTCGGGGGTACCGGGCGGGGGAGCCGCGAGCCAGAGGGGAGGGGGCCGCGGGGTTTCATGTACCCAGCATGAGTTCCTACTTCGTCAACCCCCTGTTCTCCAAATACAAAGGCGGCGAGTCCCTGGAGCCGGCCTATTACGACTGCCGGTTCCCGCAGAGCGTGGGCAGGAGCCATGCGCTGGTGTATGGGCCCGGCGGCTCGGCGCCCGGCTTCCAGCACGCCTCGCACCACGTCCAAGACTTCTTCCACCACGGCACCTCCGGCATCTCCAACTCGGGCTACCAGCAGAACCCGTGCTCGCTCAGCTGCCACGGAGACGCCTCCAAATTCTATGGCTACGAGGCGCTCCCTAGACAGTCCCTTTATGGGGCTCAGCAAGAGGCGAGCGTGGTGCAATATCCCGACTGTAAATCCTCGGCCAACACTAACAGTAGCGAAGGACAAGGCCACTTAAATCAAAACTCGTCTCCCAGCCTCATGTTTCCATGGATGAGACCCCACGGTGAGAAGCCTTTTCTCTTTCCCCCTTGGTCTCCTGCGCTCCGGGGTCTCCCCCCCCCTTCCTTTTTGTCTGCCTTCGCTTTCCCTCCCGGCTTTGGGGGTCTCTGCCGCCCCACCCCCGAGCCTCGGTGGGTTGCTGGAGGTTGGGCAGGCTCGGCTGAGGGTGGGGCTGGAGGCGCCTGGGACATTTTGGGGATTGGGATGAGGGTGGGGAGAGGTGCCTGAGGGTGCAGAAGCTTGGAAATCGTTTGCTGCTTCTCTGTCTGCCTGTCTCTGTCTGTGTCTGCCTCTCCCTCCCTCTAGGTCTCAAGTCAGAGTTGGGGAGGTGGCTGGGAAGGGTACCCTGAGGTTAGCAGCCTGGGGAGCCCATGAACAGGGTGTCTCCCAAAGCAAGAGCCCCCCCCCCCCGGCTCCAGGACAGAGGCGAAGGGAGACCTCCGCTTCTCTCCTCTAGCCAGAGTGCTGCCACCCCCAAAGACAGGCACCCAGGCTCAGAGGCTAGCCCAGTGCTCCCTCCCCGAGAATGAGTCTGAGCCCCGGGACCCCAACTTTTCTGCACTTCCCCCACTTGGGGAAAGGACAGGAAGCTGGGGTGGAGGAAAGCAGCGCTCCCCAGGAGAGGGGCGTCCAGACAAGGGGTCCCTAAGGTCCAGAGGGCCCTGGCCAGGCCCTCCTCACCCCCAGCAAGGGCTCCTGGGTCTCGCCGAGACCTGCAGAGGGGCTCAGGCTACGAGCCCCTCCAAGGGTGGCCCCTCACAGCCCAATTTCGAAGTACAGGGGGAAGAGATAGAGCGACAAGTTCCGGCAGGGATGGCCCGTGATTTATTTGCTGGTCTCCAGTTAGCAATCAGGCGGAGCAGTGATACATTCCAGGAGATCAATTATTGTGCTTATTGGAGAAGTGTTCAGCAGAGAGAGGCAAGGAGCAGGCATGGCAGAGCCCCTCTTCTCTGCCCCCAGCCCTTTTTCCTTTCTTTGGGAAACAGGCTCAAGTCCCCAGCCCGGCTCATGAACTGCCACTCTGCACTTGTAAACAAAGCTGCAAGGGCCAGTTTCCTGGGGTTGCAGGCCTGGGCCGGGTGGGGTGGGGGGCTCTGCAGGGCTCCCCTGGCCTCAGTTTCCAGAGAGAACCCCCGTCCCTGCCCCACCCCCACCCACCTCCCAAGGTGAAACCAGACCAAAACAAGCCCCCAAACTTTCCCGCTTTCTGCTCAGACTTTTCCACGCCAGGGAGAAGGGGGGGGAGCCGGAGCGGGGGGGGCACCTGGCGGGGAGGAAGAGTGGCCCCCCCACCCAAAGGTAATCAGACTGGGGTTCTGTTCTGTCCAGCTCCGGGGCGGCGCAGTGGCCGGCAGACTTACAGCCGCTATCAGACCTTGGAACTAGAGAAGGAGTTTCTCTTTAATCCGTATTTGACACGGAAGCGCCGGATAGAGGTGTCTCACGCCCTGGGACTGACTGAGAGGCAAGTGAAGATCTGGTTCCAGAACCGACGGATGAAGTGGAAAAAAGAAAACAACAAGGATAAACTGCCCGGAGCCCGGGATGAGGAGAAGGTGGAGGAGGAAGGGAACGAGGAAGAGGAGAAAGAAGAGGAGGAAAAAGAAGAGAACAAGGACTAAGCAAGAAAGAGGGACACCCCCCTTTAGCAACTCCTTGAAGTTTCGTTTTATGGTAGCAGATAAATTGAGAAGTTTACGACTGTCATTTGCTTTTATAGAGAATAGAATGACACTCACAACTCTAACTACCTGTCAGATACTCCCAGCTCTGTTTTATTACCTTTGGACTCCCCCCCACCTCTTTATTTGTTTGGGGACTGGAGGGGGGAGACCGAGACGCAACGGAATGTTGGGACCCTCGGGTCCACTCCTGGCCCTCCCAGATACACTTGCTCCTACCCCCACCCTCCTGGGTCCTTCCTGGAGTCTCAGGTCCCAGCCCCGGCCTCCTGGCCCTCTCTCTCTCTCTCTCTCCCTCTCTCTGCCCCCTTGTGCCACGGTCCCGCCTCCCTGCTGCCCTGGTATTTATTTTAGAAGGGAGCCCCTTTCAAAATATGGAAGAGGACTGGGGCTTTGTCTTAATGCTAGGACCTAGTGGACTGGATTTACTTGTTTAAAAGGGAAAGAAAAAAAATCAGGAAAGGGAAACAGTTTTAAAGAAATAAGGGAAGAATAGCAAGGAGTATGCCCCCTCCCCTCCCCCTCCTGCTCCCGGGGCTCCCTGCTTCGGAAAAAAAAAAAAAAAAAAAAAAAAAAAAAAAAAAACCCTTGACTTTCCCTGGGTACCTAAGAGAAACCTGAAGGAGATGTGGCGCTCCCACCTCCCCTGTTTCCGTGGGGTACATAGGAGCCTGCAGTCGCCTCTGAAATCCTACCTAGCCCTTCCCATAGTCACTCGGGCCCACGCCTCCAGCGCCTGCCTTCGCTGTTTGATTTCTGTTCTGTTGGGCCCAGCTTCCTCTGAGCTGCAGTACTGTTAGCGCTCAGAAATCGCCACAATCATGAAAATAAATAAATAATAATAATAATACTGATAATAAATCTTTAACATACTACCTAAAGGGAACCTGCAATAATCTTGAAAAAGAAAGAGAAAATTAAAAAAAAAAGCACCCTACTATAGGAGGAAAAAAAAGAGAAAAAAAGTGAAAAATGAAAAAAAAAGAAGAAACCTCCAACGTATTTTATCACTACCTATAGAAAGAAATCCTGCTTTGAGAGTACTCGTAATGCGGTTTTGTTGTTGTTTGTTGCTGCTTATTTCACTAAGAAGGACCCAACAACTGATACTGCCTAGCTCGCCGGTCCTGTGCGCTTTTATTGTGCTTCTAACCCCAGTAGAGTAGAGCTAAATTGCACTGAATGTATAGTTAACTCTGTCTTGAATCCTCTGTTTATGCAACGTGCTCGAAAGAAAAAAAAAGTTAAAAATATATCTATAATAATAATTTTTGGTCATTTGTCTTTATGTCCAGCTATGAATGTAGGTTTTGTGTCCCGACAACCCTGTTCCTGGTCCAAGTACTTTGTATTGTATACGTGAGTCATAATAAAAAAAAAAAAAGGAGAAAAATATTTGAGGCTGGAATGACTGGCTTGTTCTCTGCAGCTCTCTCTGTTGTCCCCCCACCCCCTTCTCAACACTCTGCAAAAGGTCTGCTCCACCGACCTGACTTGGGGTTGGGGGGAAGGAACTCATGCACAGAGCAGCCTGGGGTGGCCAGGGCAGGCTAGGCTGGGAGGGCAGGTGGAAGGGGTAGGGGGTCAGAGGAGGAGGAAGAGGAACCACCCATTGGTAGGAAGAAGAAGGGTTTATCAGTGTGTTCTTGGGAGAATCCTGGCTCCAAGCAAAGTGGATTTCTAGAATCTAGGACCCTAGTGGGAAGAAAGATCTCCCTCATCCACCCTCTTCCTCCTCCTCAGCTCTGAGCTAGGCCCAGACAAAGACTGCCCCATTCCCTTCCTGCAGCTGTGCCTTTACCTCCCAGGGCCTGGAGCTGAGGGAGAGGCTGTGGGGTTCCTTCTGGTCTCCACATGGCCCTGATGGCCAGCCCTTGGCTTCCGGCACCCTGCATGACAACAGTGCCTGGGGTGGGGGCAGCTGGCCTGCCTGGGGGGCTGGACTAGAAGATGCCTAAGATGGGGGGTGCTAAGTGTCTGTGTGTGGAGGGGGGAGGTGGGGGTAAGGAGGCTTGGGTCTGGGGAAGAGGCCAAGAGGGAAATGGGTGAGCTGGAAGACTGGCCGGCCTGGGGTCCACATCCTGAAATTCAAATTCGGCCGTCTTGGAGCCCTCACTGTCACTCAGCCCTCTGTGTCCTGTGCAGCCTCTGTTCTGGCTGTTTCCAGCCCACTCCCGGCTTCACCTTGGCAAATGGGCAGCTTGCCTGCCCCCAAAGTGCTGCCCGTGGGCCTGGGGGGCTTGGCCAGCTGAGTAGACAGTCCCCGCCATGGTCATAGCAGGTTAAGGACAATCTCCATTCCAATCTTCATCCTCCAAAATAAAGTTGAGTGAGGGCTCTGAGACCCCTGAAGTAAAAGGGTCTCTCACTTTTCTCTAGAGTCCTAGACCAAAAAATCTGTTTATGCCAATGAGATGCTGGTCAAACCATCCCAAATTCCAGAGATACAAGCCCTCTGACTCAGCAGGAGAGGGGAGGGGATCTTCTGGCCTTAAAAACCAGACCCCCAAAGACAGAAATATTTTTGAGGCCAGATCTCTCTCTCTCTCTCTCTCTCTCTCTCTCTCTCTCTTCCTCTCCCTGTTTCCTAGTCAATGATTTTCCCAGACCTAAACCCAGGCCAACATTTCTTGTTTTGGGTAATTTCAAGGGGGTTCCAGTCCCTGGCTGGGTCACAGTATAGGATTGGGTTAGGCATCGCTCTTAAGGGACCCTACAGCTCTGGGAGGCTTTGAGCGGGGCGCTCCAGTGAAATCTCCTGGAAACTGGGGTCCCTGCTGGGAGCCCAGGCTTCAGCCAGGTAATCCAGTGTGTTGTAGGAGACACCAGCTACCCGCCTGGGGGAAGCCCCCAAAAGACACCGTTTTGCTCGGACCTCAGGCCTGCGCACGGGCGTCCCCTCCACGCGCCGGGGGATGGCCGAGGGCCGTTTCATTTTTAAATGTGGAATTATGGTTGCTATTAATAAGAATATCGGGCCCTGCCGCGGAGCAGGGTGAACCGTGCAGTAGTGGCTGTGAGGGGTCTCGCCAAATGTGTTCCGTTTGTCCCTAGTCCTGCTCAGCCATGCCCGTGGCCCCGAGCCCGGCGCGTCGGAGGGCGGGGTGCGTCTGGCGCCCGGCGGGGCTGGCGAAGTCGGGCACCAGGAGGGCCCGACCCAGGGAGCCCCCACCGCCCCTCTGCTCCGCACCCTCTCCCCCACCCGCTCTGCCCACGGCCTCTGTGTTCTCGTTTGGAAAGAAAAGGAGGTAAAAACCCGTTTTATGGGGGAACGTAATTGCGAGCGGGATGCGCGCTCTTTAGAAACGCGTCCTCTCAAATGCTCCCGCCGTCCCATTACCGGAACGGGGACCACTCGGCTGCGGCAGATACGACTCTGGTCTCTCCCATTCTTTACTTTTTTATTAGCCAATCAAAGTGGTTTCCGAAAGCTATTTGTGATTTGTGAAAAATAGTATCTTTCAAAATGCTGAGTCGAAGCATCTCGCTCATTTCACTTTGAATTTATTATTCTAATCTCAACGGCAGAGACAAGATAATGCGACTGTGAAGTTGAGGGGCAAATTCGTTTCCCTGCATTTTTTTTTTTTAAATTCTCAGCGTTTTCTCTCCCTTCCCAATCCCTTATTGCAGAGTCCAGGGGAGCTATGGGCCTGTGCGACGATCGGACAAGGGAAGGCGGGCAGGGAGCATTGGAAGGGGTCTTGGGGGACCCTTTGAGAGTGGGTTGACCCCCCCACCAGCTTCCCTCAATGAGATGCCCCCCTGACTGCCTGGTGGCTGGGAAAGTTCCCCCTGTCCCAATTAGGGACGGCTAAGGACAGGTTGTGCCACAGACTAGAAGTAAAATTTCCGGTGAGCTGCCCGCAGCGCTGTCCCATTCTCCCCGCTGTCCATTGTGAAGAGCTGGGCCAGTGCTTCCTCGTCGTAATTTTTAACTACCTGTTATAAAATTTATGGGTGGGTTTGTAAAAGAAACAAGGTCCCTGCATCTGGCTGGGGGAACTGCTTTGCTCAGAGTAGAGCACGTTTGGGGAGGGGGGTGAGGGATCCCCTGTGGGTTAGGGTGGGGACACTGGGCCACGGAGGATCCCGTGCCAGCTCCGCTCCTCACCCAGGCAAGAGCCAGCGGGAGAGGCTGTGCTGCAACCCACAAGCACATAGTCTCTATGGGGGCCCCACACTGGCCGCACTGCCAAACTTGGGGTCTGGAGAAACAAGGGTCTCTGAATTTCCCTGCTGAAGGTACACTTCAGGGCAGTAAATGGTTCTTTCTTCAGGGCCCCAGACACTGAACCAGGCAAATTTTCTGAAAAGGCAGGTGGGCGTGGGTATCCCGCCAAGATGGGGAAAGCTTCAAACTGCCTTGCACCCTAGACTAAGATCATGGGCATTCTCTTTTCGGTTCTGAAATGAGTGCACGCTGCAGAGTGAGCCTAGGAAATGTGGACACCTGGTGCTGGGGAAGGTCTTGGGGGAGGGGAGAGGTGGATGTCATTGTCCCTGGGTAAGGGCTCTGAGGGTGAGATTTGCCTTCAGGGTCCTGGAAGCCATCCCAAGTTCCCAGCCCTCCTGCTGCCTCTGCAGGAAAGCCCAGGGCTGCCCGTAGAGCTCACAGCTTCTCAGACCCCGGCCAGGTCAGCCCTACTGGGAGGTTGCCAGTGGCCCGTGACTCCGATCCCGTCTAGGGTGTAACGGGAGTTTGCGCGCACACCCTGGTAGCAGAGAGAAAGCTGTTTTTTCCTAGGGAGAAAAGAAAAAAAGAGAGAGATAGGGCTAGGGAGGGCATCCCTTTCCTTGATCCGCCAGCCGACACTAGCCCAAGGCCACAAATCTTCGCAAAGCTTGGATTCCCCTCCATGCAACCTTAATACCTCCATTTATTAAGGACAGTATTTAAAATTCGGCGCAGCAGGCAGAGGCACCCGACGCCTCAGTGCCCGAACCTTTCCTGCTTGGCTCGCCGCGTGCCCCTGCAGCGCTCTCCGAGCTGCCCGGGAGCAGCCGGGCCGTGGGGAGTGGGCGGTGGGTGGGGGTGGGGTGGGGGTCGGGGGATGCTCCCTCTCAGAGAGAATTGGGTAAACATGGCGACCGCGGCGCCCATTTGCACACGCTACACAAATGCATCGCATTCCCGGTTGTTTGCAGAAAATTTACAGCTGAGTAATAAAAGTTTACGATCGACTCACAAGTTGGATTGGCCACAAGAAGTCATGTGGATTCCATCCATGAACGTGAACTTTTTATTGTGGTTTGTCCGTTCCGAGCGCTCCGCAGAACGGTCCTCCCTGTAAGAGCCTAACCACGGCCAGGGAAACCAGCACTGGGCGCTCCCTTCATTACCAGTGTATTTTTTTTATTAATCTGATAAATAATTATTCCTCTTCCCCCTCCCCCAGTTTAATTTTTCCCTCCCAGGTGGAGTTGCCGGCAGCTGGGGGCACCTGGGAAGGGTGGGGATGGGAGGGGAGAGGCAGGAGTTGAGGGTCCTCTCTCTCCTTTCCCCCAGACCCCCTGGCCCCCAAGGGGCAGGAGGAATGCGGGAGTTGGAGTTGAGACCCGGAGCCACAGAGGCCTCCGCCCCTCTCCTCCCAGGCTCTCCCTCCTGCCCCCCTTCTCGCAACTCTCCTCGGTTTTATTTGGCTTTTTTTTTTTTTTTTTTTTTGGCGATTAGGACTGTTCTTTTTTATTTTTGAATTTCCATAAAGTATATGTGTGTGTGTGGAGCTGAGACGGGCTCGGCAGCGGCACAGAATGAGGGAAGACGAGCAAGACAGTGTGGGAGAGAGAGAGGCAGAAAGAGAGGGAGAGAGGGAGAGTGACAGCAGCGCCCGGTAAGTGTTTCCTTATTGGTTCAACTATGTAACTAATGGTCCGTAGCTGGGTGGCGGTTTCAAGATAAGGACAGCAGCGGCTTGCCTCGGTTACAGAGGAGAAGGGGTGGGCGCGTGGGTAATTATGGGGAGGAAAAGTGGGGGTGGGTGGGGTTAAACTGGAGCGCTGGTAACTGCTAGTGGGGCGGGTGTGCTGTCCCGGTGCCCCCTGCGCGCCGCCGCCGCTGGGGGTAGAGGGGCACGACGTTGGAGCCCGAGGGGCGCGCGCCGAGCCGGGGCTGGGGAGGGGTCGTCGAAGGCGCCGGCCCTCTCCGCGTGATGCCCACCGCGTCGGTGGTACCTGTTTATTATGGATCTGCGGGACGGAGGGGGCCTGGAGGCTGCAACTCCAGGGTGGGGAGAGGGAACCTGTAGGCTGCGCCCACTGCCCCCTGAGCGACGTCAGCACCCCCAAGCCGCCCGAACAAACTTTCGGGCGCCCCTCCCCGTCCGGCAGCCCCCTCCCTCTCGGAGAGCGCGGCGGCCACAGCTCACACATGCGCAGTGCGCGCCCAGGGCCGGGCCGCCGAGCAGGAAGCGGGCGCAGCGAGGCGGACGGCGGGGCCTGTTAATTGGCAATTAAGGGGGAGGCTGGTGGCTGGTGCGCGTCAGCCGCAGGAGAGCGTCTGCCCACCCCCTGCTCCCGCCCCCACTCTGGCGGATGGCAGGGTGGGAGGTGCCCTGCACTGCGGGTGAGGGTGGGGGTGGGGGTGGGGGCTGCCGTCCTCTAAAGCCATCTTGTGCGCGCAGAAAAAGAGGCCTATCCGCTTTCTCTCCCTGGGTCCGGTGCCCCCACCCCCACCGCAGCCACCCCGCCCGGGATGCCCACCGGAAGGCTCCACGCCCCTGCACGGCTGCTCCGGCCTGGGGCGGAGGTGGGGATGGGGGCGGCCCCCGGCGGGACGGGGACAGGCCCAAGGCCTCGCCGGCGGTGCCTCGGTGTGCTGAGGAGGCAGCGAGGACCCCAGGGGCGGCGGGCTTCCGGGTGCAGGCGTCAGGACAGCGTGGCCAGGAGGGTCCGGGGCGCCGGGGATCTTCCTCATAATTGGTGCTAATGGCGTGTTGTATAGTCTTAACCCGACACATATGGCTTCATAACACAGTGGCTTAATTTCTTCCAAATGTACGTGGCCCTGAATGTGTTGCAGTGTGATATATGACCGCGCCCTGCTCGGGGGCCTGGGTCCGAGGCGGCTCCTACCCGCATGAAATGGATGAGTTTGTGTTTGGGAAAGGCGACGCACACGCAAACGCTTACCCACCCAACGAGACACACCCAGTGCGGGGAGGGGGCGCGCCTTCCTGGGGAGGTCTGAGTCTGGGGGCAACACTCAGCCTTCAATAGGAGCCAGACACCCCCACCCACACAGGGCTACTGGGATTCTGCGGCGAGCCGGAGTGGGGGAGGGGACCGCTCCTCGATTTCCTGTTTAAATCCTGACCCATTGCTGGGGTGGGGGCGGGGGACGGGAGGGGGCAGAAAAATCCGTTTTTATCAAATTCTTAAAAATCCAGTTGGACTGCAATTGGAATCCATCCCCCTGGGTTGCAATAACGGTGAATCTTCTGTCCCCTCCCCCCACAGTCCCCTACCCTTCCTCTCCTGCCCCCCCAAAATTCCCCTTTCGCAGCCGACATAAAGACCTCGGAGGTATTCTCCCGAGGGAAGAAATGGCATTTTCTCTCCCCCTTCTCCCACCCCCCCCCCCGCCTCCCCAGGACTGTGTGTCGGCAGAAGCGTCTGCCGAAGGGCTAATTTCGCGTTCCTTGTTTACGATCGAGAAAAGCGCTTGGCTGTCCCCAAATGGGCCCAGCCCGCCGCCTTGCGCCGACTGCCGCGCAGTCGCTCGGGCGCGCTCGGGCGCGGCCCGGGGTCTGACGTCCCGGGGACCCGGAGTCGGAGGGAGCTCAGGAGGGCGAGGGGAGAACGGTGGAGGGGCCGAGAGGCCCGAAAACGGGAGCCTTTCTCCTGGCGTAGAGTGGGAGCCGCCGACGGGTGAGGCCTCTGTTTCTCTCTTTCGCCTGTGTGTCGTCCGCCCCCGCCCCTGCGGATGGCCGCACGGACGCGGGGTGGGGGTGTGTGCATAAGTCTCCTTTGTTCGTCCCAGAACGAGAACCGTTCCCAGAGAAAGCCATTCAGGCTCGCGGGGAGTCACCTGGGATACTAGAGGGGCTGCCTCCCATCGGAGAGGCGGGCCTGGGCCAGGCTGGGGGTATTTCTCTGGGACCACAGGGATCTAACTGAAAGGCGCTGACCGTGAGATCTAGGGGTGCTAGGGTTCGAGGGTGATGGGTTCACACTACCATCCTGTGCCCCCATCAGGAAGTTGCATTGATTTTCTGTCTCTTCTGGCTCAGGTCCGCAGGTCCCCACTTTGCGCGGTGCCCTTCATCCCTAAACCCATCCTGGTCCCGCTGAGACAGAGGGATGCAGAGAGAGAGAGAGAGAGAGAACGGGGCAGCAGTGCTGGCCTTGGTTTTCAGTTTTCCAGTCTGGCCAGGAGATAGGCGGGTCTCCAAGGCCAGCCCTCTGCTTCGTTACTTTCGCTTTTCTTTTGCCTCTCTGTCACTCTGTGGAGCTCCAACAGAAAGCACAAGAGGGGGGCCTCCAGTGGCAACCTCAGCCTTCTTGCAGGCCAGATTCCCTGCAGACAAGGTCCCTGCTGCAGGAGAGCTGCTCTGTGATTATCTAATAATAGCCAGGGGAGCTGAGAATAGAATCTGGCTCAAGGACTCTGCACACCCAAGGCTGAGGCTGGCCAGACACTGGATCTGTGGATCTGGGCCTGGCAGTGCTGCCTGGAACCCTGGGCCCCCAGTGTTCTCTGAGCCCATTCTGGGCACTCTCAGGCCTGGCCCTCACTGGGGGTGGGGGTGGGGGCTTTGTCAGGCCTGCCATCCGTGTATTTCATGTGCTGTCTCCTAACTAAGAAGCAAATGGACATCTCTCCCTGTTGTGACAGTAATGATCCCCACGGAGAAGGTGACCTTGTTGGGAGAAGGTGACCTTGTTGGGTTGGCTGTTGTGTTCTGCAACCAGGCTTGGGAGCTTTCATACATTTATTATAAACAGGCTCAAATGTACAGACTCAGACCTGTGCGTGAATATACACAGACTCATGTTTCCTCGGCAGCTAATTGTGTATTACCATGCCTAGATTCGCTCAAACACCGTTTTATGTGCATGCGAAATGTTGTTAGCCCTCATTCATAGATGAGAGTGAGCTCGTGGACTCACAGGGCACAGCCAGGAGGCCCCGTGTGCGTGCTGGAGATGGGATAGGCGGGTTCCAGGAACCCACGGGTGCCACAAAGGTGTTCCCAGACCTCACTGCCTTCCCTGGGTTGGGGAAATGCCAGACCCCTCGGATTTATTTCTCGTGGTATTTCCCTCCAACGTCCCCAGCTTGCAGACTGTTGGGGACCCCAGTGGTCTTGAAAGTGAATTCTGGGGCACTCTTTCACAGCCGTGGAGGGCCCAGGAGCAGTGCTGAGCACCCAGCAGTGGGCCATGGTGCTGCTGGTTCTCCTGGGTGGGTGATTAGGTGGTCTCAGGCGGTGTGCTGAGGTAGGGGCCAGCCCGGAGGCTGGGCGAGGCCGGTGGAAGAGCGAGCCAGAGGGCCGGGGAGGCAGCAGCATTTGTCTCTCCTTGCTCGCCCTGGCCGCGGCACCACCCCAGATTTGCCTGCATTTGTGGGAGCAGATTAGGACCTCTCTGGGGTCCCCCCAAACACCCAGATCTGGAGACTCACGGGAATGCGTTTAAATCCACTCGGCTACCTGAGCCAGGGCAAAGCCAGGCACTGGGGGAGGCTGCTGGAGGCCGAGCAGGATCCACACTGGGCCCCGCCTGTGCGCCTCGGAGTCCGCGCTGCAGTCATCGGGGGCCTCTTTTCCGGCCTTTCTCGCTTCCCGGGCTACGAAAAGACAGAGCAGAAGGGAAATATAAATGTCAGTTAAAAAAAAAAAAAACACCCATAAAAGAAAAGTAAGGGCAGAGCAGGGCCAGGAGGGTTTTCCCGCCGCCGCTGGGCGAAAGGTTCCTCTTAGGAGTCGCGTCCAGACACGCTGTGGCGCCCAGCCCTCGGCTCTCTCTCGCAAGCCTGCTCCGCCGGCCCCGAGCGCGGGCCTCTGCCACCTGGGGCGCAGAGGGTGCCGTGCCCCCAGGACGGTGCCCCCTTGCCTGGCCCACGGCCTGTGCCGCCAAGACGCAGCTGCCCCTGTTTATTGTGTCTGTGACTTGTTTACTTGTTTTGTCTGCTGCCACCCTGCGTCTGAAACCCGCCAAACCAGCACACCCGCCCGGGAAGACAAAGTGCGGGGCGGGCTCCCCAACTCCCTCCCCTCCCCAGCACCCCCTCCAGGCCCTGCGCTGAGCGAGGAAGCAGGAATTGTCCTGAAGTAGCCCAGCTGTTTATGGGGTCGGGGGGGGGGGGGGGGAATTGTGGGGTCACTGTAAACCTCCGGATGTCCTGGTACTGGGGAAGCTCGCAAGCAGCCCTCCAAATGCCCTGGGCTCTTTTTTTTTCTTTCCCCTGGTAACTGCTTGGTGAATGGGGGGTCAGTCACTGGGAAAGCTGGGGCCCCCTCACCCCTCTTCCCCCATGCATTCTGCAGGAGTTTCCCTGAGACTAGGTTGTTGTGTTTTCAATCAGGTTAGTGTTGGCGGATTCATACAGCTGCCGTAAACCGTGTCGCTGGCCCCTTTCCTCATCCCCCCAAAAGAGCGGCGAATTTAAGCAAATCTCACAAAATTAAATTGCCCCTTCGCTAAAGATCCTATAAATCTCCGGCCCCACCAGGTGTAGAGTCAGAGACACCGTTGTTTGCCTTTAATTTCGCTCCTGGCTATCGAGTCTAAAAGAGTATCGTCGAAGAAAGTGATATTCTCGTTTCTGAAATTAATTTCCCCCTCCCGGTCTAGCTCCCTCTTTGCGCCAGCACAGATTAAATGGTTCGTTCAGATCTGCAAACAGTAAAGGATAAAAGTATTTATAGGGGAGCGAGGAGGGTGTTTCATGGTTGGCTTATTGTTCCAGAACATAATAACATTTTATTTTCAAGCAGAAGTTAGGGGGCAAGAAGTGGGGGAAAGAAGGAAGAAAACCAGAGAAAGCCGAGCACCCGCACACAGAACTCCCCCTCCATGGAGAACTTTGATGACATTTACAATTTCCATATGGCAGCTCGCTGTGACGTCATAAATGCCAAGTTCTTGCATTTTACAATTCTCATAAACCTTCCTAGAGGGTCCAAGCAGTGCTCAGCGCTGAGGGGCGTGAGATGCCGGAAGTTGGGCGTCTTTTAGTCCAGTGCAGAACCGCTCTACCCCTTCTTGCTCATCGGGTACCCTCTTTAGCTGGGAGCTGAAATATCCTGGGTATTCTGAATTTTAACTTCTCCTGGACCAAGCAGAGCCACTTGCTGTGCTCCCCCCAACACACACACCCAGCATATCTGACACTGGGGTCACTGCTATGTCCCCAGGGTGTCCACAGGTCCCCCCTTCAGCTGTTTGGAATAAAGGTGAGAGGTTAGAGGGCCAGGCCCCCAAAAGCCAGAAAGGATTTTTCTTTTTTCTACCCAAATGGAGCTGGAAGGGGGCTCAGACCTGAGTGTGATGGGACAGAGGTGCTGGGGACCTGTTTTACTTTTAACCTGAGAGGCCCAAGAAGCGAACGGAGAACCTGAGCAAACACCAGAGTGAGGGTTTGTGTCTGCTGATGGTGGCGGTAATAAGTATGGTGCCAGGAAGGGAAGGCAGGCAGAAATCAGGAGAGAGGGAGGGAGGAGAGGAACGACACCTTTCTTTTCTGTTTCATTGCAGTAACCCGCAGCAGCTCGGGCAGGCTCTTAACCTTTACTTCGCTCAAGCGAGGAGTGGCCAGTGCAGGCCTCAGAGGTGTTTGGGGCACTTCTCAGTCCCCATTCGGCCTCCTCCTCCCTCTTGGCGGACCCCCAACTCCCTTCAGCTGGCCCGTGACAGCCATGTCCCCAAAATATCTGCACCCCCAAACTGGGATCCATTTCTGGGTTGGGTGTGTCAAATTTCACTCCCCCCCCCAAGAGTCTGCAAGCCAGAACTTTGAAAGGAGGGTGTTCCTTTATGGAATGCAGCACGTGCATGGGTGTGGGGTGTGTGTGCACAGACACCGTCCGTCCCCCCACCATATCTGTGAGCAACTGGAGCCCCTGGGGTGAGCCCCTGCTTTGGTCCCTAAACTGAGGGCGGGGGAGGGGGAGTCCCCTGCGTTCACCTTCTCGGGCAGACCAGGAGGAGCTTGGCAGTGTTTTGACTCTGAGTTCCACGGGAGATCAAAGGACCTTGTCCCCCAAACAGCAGGCATTTAGAGTACGAATTTTATTTTTTTAATAAAAAAGAAATCTTGTCTTAAGTCAGTTGGGCCAACTGAACAGTGGCTCCAGAACAGCAAAGCCTTAACCAAACAGTGCGATTGTGAAGTGAACGGAGCCAGTGATTGAAACTCTCGGCGTTCTCTGTAAGAGGGATTTTAGCCCTCACCCGGGGCACAAAAGGAGCTGGCAGGCAGCCGCCTTCTCCCACTCTGCAGAGAGAATTAGGGGTGGTGGTGGGGCCACAGGCTTCCCTGCACCCCAGCACCCAAGTCCTGCAGCCCCAGTGTTGGGGTCCCTGAGCAGCCAGTGGAGGCGCTGAGCTGTAGCTGGTGGCGCGGGCAGCCAGGACTGGAGTGTGTGTATCTGTGTGCGAGGGTGGGTGAGTCTCAAACAGGGTGCAGAGTTTAAGGTAATTGGGGATCACACATGAGGGCAGAACCTCTGGAAAAGAGCACCCTCAAATCAAAATTCCCGACCTCAGCTCCCTCCCTGCCCACACACCTCCCTGAGAAATTAATGTTTTCCAGAGCAAAAGCAAAGCAGTGTGAAAGGCAAGGTGAGGCCTGTCCAGGAGCCTGTCTTGGGCTGGGGTGCAGGTACACCTACCCTCTCCCCAATTCAGAGCCGCAGAGGCCCCCAGCTTGGGGGGGGGGCCTGGAGCGGCTGGGGCTGGCATGGGAATACTTAACTCCCCGCGGGAACCCCCCAGGTGGCGGATCTCCAACTCTCCCCTTAGCCTTGGGGACTTCACTCAGGCCCTAGGCACGGGCGGTGAATTCTTCCCCTATAATTAGTGCTCATGAAAAGGGTGTGCTTGGGCTAGGGGGCCAGGAGGGGAGAGGGTGGGGAGCACCGGGACAGCGAATGGCAACTGTACCCTTTTCTGTGTCTTCTGAGAGCTGGTTTTACATCCACTAATTACAGCTCCCAACACGAAAATCTGCTCACAACGCTAAAGCGCCCTCCGAATGCCTAATTCCTGGGGCCGCGGGGTCCAGAGCCGGCGCAGACCTGCGGGCCTGATAGGAGGTGTCCTCTGATTCCCCCCAGGCTTGTTTTATAGAAACAAAGAACAAGTTCTCTCCCCTCCTGCCTGGGACTTGTGTGCATATTTACAGAGCTCAACTGCAGTTTTAATAAAACATCTGTTCTTGCTTCTGCTGATGAGTTTCCATAATTGTTTTCAGACAAATTGAACAGGAAAATATAAATATATTTAGAAAAATCCAAGTGCTAGCTTCCCCCACAGACAGCCTTTCTTATGCCCCCCCCCAAATAAAATTAACATGAAATGGGAAAAGGAAAATACAACCCAATGGAGGGAAGATCGGGCTCATCTGACCTGCTCTCCCCCCTTGGAGCGAAGCCTTCCAGCAAATTCCAGCCGCATAATTAAAGATCAAACTGCACGAAGGGAGCTTCGTTCGGCAGGAACGGAAGGTGATGGGGGGAGAAATCAACGGTGGCCGCGTGGAAACGCGTTTGTATTTCCGCCTCCCCCGCTCTCGCCCTTCCAGCCAGCCTTTCTGCCTGTTTCCCCCAGCAGCTGGTTTCTGTTCCTTATGAATCGGCGAGACCTTTCAGTCCCTGCCCTCTGTTTAGGGACGTAATAAAACACTTAACTTTCCGGGCCTGAGACTTACACTCTGCTCCTTAGGTCGCCCACCCCCCGAGAGCCCAAAAGAGAATCTCCCCCAATTTTGGGGCCCCCTTCTTCATGCCGAATTGAGGAGAGGCCCAAGGAAACCCAGACGTCCTTGTGGGGGGAGGCTGTATCTTACGCCTTCTCCTGGAACCCCTTCTTTTTTTCACGCCCCCCCCCCCGCCAAGGTCCTTTCCTCCCTCCACCCATAAAAGAGATTTTAAAATACATGGAAGATCAACAATCATTGAAAGCAAAACCTCATTAAGGATCCTATCTTCCATCATTCAATTTGTTGTACATTGCAACAATTTAATATCTTGAAGGAATTATCACTGACATGATTTATCCCTCCAGCAATCTTTCTCTCTGAAATGGGGGGTTACTCTTTCTTCCTGCTTCTTCTACTTGTTCCACTGCTACCCTCAGGGCAGAGCAGAAGCTGGGAACTTTGAGACAGGCTACTTGTGGCCAGGGGTGCTTCCTGGCTCAGCCTCCAGGAGGCTCGCCCCCTCCACACTTGTTCTTCTCCCCCTACTTCTTGCCCTGGTTGGGGGGGCGGGAAGCTGTGGCCCCAGCCAGCTGTTAGAAACCTCTGCCCAGGCATGCCATGAATTCGAGGACAGCTGGACTGGAGAGCCAAAAGCAACTCATGTGTGATGTCTCTGCTTGTGTACCTGCCATGTCACCCCAAAATGAGATCAAATTTTCTTCCTCTTCAGTTTAAGAACCCCCCCCCCATCCGCTTTCACCTTTATTTCCTCGGGGAGGAGAAAGTGTGGTCCCAGCGGAAGAACCTTCCAATGGGAGGGGTCTGTCTCCTATCTCCTAAATACCAACCAACTTCCCTCCTTTTCGAAGGACTGGGGCTGTATTTTTTTCTTCAAAGCCAGCACAGATCGTCTGGCAGGAAGACCCCCGTGAGCCCCTCGCAAGGTTCACGTAGTAACTAGCATGGGGTCCCCACCAGCTCCTACGTACTGTCTGCTTTGGGGTTCAAGAAACTTTATTTTTCCCCCCTAGCGACACTCCAGGGAAACCTTAGCTTTACAGAAGACGAATAAACGAGTTTTTTCCCAGCGTAGTCCTGTTTATGGCTTTATTGCCACCCATTGATTACTCCGCTTTGTTACACAGAAGGAAAAGATCATAAAATCCGGCGACATCCGGGTTCTTGTTATAGCCAGTGCCCCCCCTAAAAAATGATTGAGGGGAAAATATGAGCTCTCAGTACGCGCCCCGCGCACGCCCCACCACCCCCTCTTTGTCACCTCGAAGCATTTTCTGCCTGTGTCGCGACATCAGATTAAGTTTGGGTTCCATCAGGAGAAAGCGCCCATCTGCACACCTTCCGCTGTTTTGCAGCTCCCTCAGAAACCTCGGACTCAGCTGCCTGTTCCTAGCCGGCTCTTCCTTTTCCTCAGCCCCAGGGTGGGGGGGAACACGGGAACAGAGGCTGCTGAGAGTCCCGGCCCCACTGGCACTTGGGCAGGAGCTCCCCACGAGCAGCCTTTCCCTAGAGTCTTCAAACCCCAGAGCTTGGGCCCAGGATGCCTCCTTGGGGGCAAGGGGGGCTTCTGACCTGGGCAGGGGCTTGAGACTGCAAGGAGCTAACTGTCCACCAGCGCCTCACCGGCCCAGCCTTCTCTTTCTGCCTGGAACCCCTGTGAATCACTCCACCGTGCTCGCTGCCTCCAAATCATAAATTCTCCCCAACATAAACAGGAGTTGATGTCTCTAGAAAGACTCTCAGAGTTTGCTTTCTTCTTCCTTTTACGCTCTCTCCCACCTTTTACTACTTTTTCTTCCTTTTCTGTTGTATTTTTATACATTTTCCCTTTTAGGAAAAAAATGCTGCAACAGTTTTCCCAAAAAAAGGGAGGGGAGGGTCCCAAGGCGGAGGCAGAATGGAGCAAAGAGGCCCAGGAAATCAGACACATGGCCCCTTTGCCCAGGTCAGCTCTGCCACTGTACCCTAAAGTCTCACCTTCACCCCTGGAGACTTGCCTGCCTCCCATATGCTCCCTGCACCCAAGACTCTGGGCCACACCCTCCTCCCTCCTGGTGCTGTGAGGTTTCATGTAATTTCTTTCGACTTCTGATTTTTTTTTAATTGTTGGGGGAAAAAATACACCGGCTCAGTGATGGAAACTCACTCCAGAGAGTGTCAAAGGAGGATTTCCTGGAGGATTTCTAGGGAACCCCCTGAGCTGGGAGGGAGTCTTTCCCACGGAGTCATCGGGACGTAATTTTAGAAGGAGGTAGTTACAAAATAAGAAATCAGATTGAAAATGCAGGGATTTCTCCGGCCCTGGCTCTGGTCACAGCACAGCCCAGTTAGCTGGGGCTGAGAGATTCCCCGGGAGCACAGCTGGCGTTGGGGGGGGGGGGGCGGAGCCCCTGCTGGCGGGCACGCACCCCCTCCTTCACCCCCAAACCAGTTCCCTTGCATATATATTTTTAAGAGAAATCCAAGTCTCACTTTTAAAGCACACACTTAGTCTCAACTAGGGAATCAACAGAAGCAGAAGCGATTTTTTTCCCCCTTCTTGACATCTGGCTTGCGATTGGCTGGAAGGGGGTCAGCTGACTTTGTCATTTTGTCTGTCCTGGATTGGAGCCGTCCCTATAACCATCTAGTTCCGAGTACAAACTGGAGACAGAAATAAATATTAAAGAAATCATAGCCCGACCAGGTAAAGGCAAAGGGATGAATTCCTACTTCACTAACCCTTCCTTATCCTGCCACCTCGCCGGGGGCCAGGACGTCCTCCCCAACGTCGCCCTCAATTCCACTGCCTATGATCCAGTGAGGCATTTCTCGACCTATGGAGCGGCGGTTGCCCAGAACCGGATCTACTCGACTCCCTTTTATTCGCCACAGGAGAATGTCGTGTTCAGTTCCAGCCGGGGGCCGTATGACTATGGATCTAATTCCTTTTACCAGGAGAAAGACATGCTTTCAAACTGCAGACAAAACACCTTAGGACATAACACACAGACCTCAATCGCTCAGGATTTTAGTCCTGAGCAGGGCAGGACTGCGCCCCAGGACCAGAAAGCCAGTATCCAGATTTACCCCTGGATGCAGCGAATGAATTCGCACAGTGGTGAGTTTTACAGCCCCGAGATATAAATTAAATAAACTGAACTGGCTTTACGACCGGCTTCCCTAGAAGAACGGGCGGAGAGAGTTTTTTATGGCCCCATAAAAACAATCACGCTCGTCTCCTCGCCGACGAGACAGGGCCCCCTCTTCTGCCCCCTCTGCTCGCCTCCTGCTTGCTCACAGGGGCCTGGCCCCCCTCGACTGGAGGGCTCCAAGGCGAGCTGAGGGGGCAGGAACAGGGCAGAGGGGATGAGGGGAGGGGGCCCAGGGTGGGGGAGCCCCCCAAAGTCGCCTCAGGCTGAGGAGGGAGGGAGGGGGAGAGGAGAGGGCAGAGAAGTGGGGAGAAGCTTCTGAGGAGTTGAGGCACCTGCGGAGATGGGGGACCCCAGTCCTGGAGAAATGGGGCCCTCATCCCCCACTCTCTCTCTCTCTTTTTTTTTTTCAAAAATAATCTTTCAGACCCCCAGCTTTCTGCCTGATTTTTTTTTTGCTCCGCCTCCCCCCACCCACCCACCTTTCTCTGGGACCCACAACCTCTCACCCCCAGGGGAGCGCTGGAGGAGGTTGGGGGTCCTGGCTGTCCCCCGGTGGGGGTGGGGCAGAGCAAAAGGGAGAAGGCTTACTGCCCAAGGGGGCCCCTGAGCTGCTGGCCAAGTTGGGAGGCTCAGGGACTGCGAGGCGAGCTCCTCTGCGGAGAGCGGCCTTTGCTGATGGCTTTTAGTGTGTTTTGTGCCCGGATCTCTAGGGGTCGGCTACGGAGCGGACCGGAGGCGCGGCCGCCAGATATACTCGCGGTACCAGACCCTGGAACTGGAGAAGGAGTTCCACTTCAACCGCTATCTAACGCGGCGCCGGCGCATCGAGATCGCTAACGCGCTCTGCCTGACCGAGCGGCAGATCAAAATCTGGTTCCAGAACCGCCGCATGAAGTGGAAGAAGGAATCCAACCTCACGTCCACGCTCTCGGGGGGCGGCGGCGGGGCGGCCGCCGACAGCCTGGGCGGGAAAGAGGAGAAGCGGGAAGACACAGAAGAGGAGAAGCAGAAAGAGTGACCAGGACTGTGTCCCCGCGCGCGCCACCCCCGTCTGTCTCTCCTTCTCCCTGGCTCCCTCCCTCCCCCGCACACCGCCTCGCCCCTAACCACACTCTCCAGTACTTCTCACTGGCACAATTGATGTGTTTGGACGCCCTGAAACAGAATTAGGGAGTCCAACGTGGACCCAAGCGTCAGCTCCGGACCCCCTCCCGCACCGAACCGCTCTCGCCACGCGACTGCTCCTCCTCCTCCTCCTCCTCCCCTCTCCCTGCTAGCTCCTTCTCGGCTTGTCTGCAGGCCCTTTCCTGGGCCCAGGCCTTAGGGGCTCAGCCCCTGAACCTCTCTTCAGCCTCCACAGATTGCCCTGCGAATGAGGACTTGGCTACCCCCCCTCCTCCCACCACCACCACCACCACTGCCTCGACGCCCCCCACCCCGGCCCCGCGCGCAGAGCGCCGGCTCCCGGGCCCGGGGCCTCCGCTGTGGGGCCTCAGGTCCCGGCCTGGCAGCCGCGGGAGGGCGGGGAGGCCTCGGCCCCTCCGCCAGCCCCTGCCCGGCCCCTCTGCCCCGGCAAATGCCCAGCCCAGGCAACATTGTATTTAAAGAATCCTGGGGGTCATTATGGCATATTACAAACTGTGACCGTTTCTGTGTGAATATTTTTAGCTGTATTTGTGGTCTCTGTATTTATATTTATGTTTAGCACCGTCAGTGTTCCAATCCCATTTTAAAAAGGCAAAAAAAAAAAAAAGGGAAAAAAAGAGAAAACGGCAAAAAGGAAAAAAAAAGTGAATGACGTTTGTTTAGCCAGTAGGAGAAAATAAATAAATAAATAAAGCCCCCTCGTGTTACCCTCCTGTATAAATCCGACCTCTGGATCCGTTCTCGAATATTTAATAAAACTGATATTATTTTTAAAAGTTTAGATGCGAATTTTTGTTCATTCGCTCATCCGCCGGCCTGGAGCAGGCGCCAAGCGCCCCCGTGTCCGCCCGTCGCCTGCACGCGCCTCCCCCGGGCGGCGGGCCCCCGGCCTCCCGCTTCCCCCGCGATCGCGCCGTGGGGCCGGGGATTTCGCCGGGGGCGGGGGCAGTCGGCCGGCCTCTCTCGCCGCCCCTGGGAACCCCGATCCCGGAGAGAGGGCAGGGGCCGCGCGCGAGCCCAGGCCCCCGGCCCGCGCCAGGCCGGCTGGGGCGAAACGTGGCGGAGGCGGAGGAGGGAGGCGGCGGCGGCGGGGCCGCGGGCCGGGACGCAGCGGCTCCAGGACCTCGCGAAAGAGAAAGCTTGGAAACGGAGCTCCGGCCTGCTCTGGGACTCCTGACGTGGCCGGGACAAAATTCCTCCTTCCTCTGGGGTGGGGGTGGGGGCTCCCCGGCCTGGCTGCTTTGCTCTCTCCCCAGGCCGGGGCGGCCGAGGGGCGCGGCCGGAGCCTTGGCCATTTCCCAACGCCAGCCTTCTCTCCCCAAGCCCAGCCAGAGAAACCTGAGTGGGCCTAGGGGGAGAGGGGTGGCGCAGGGGGGTGGCGGGGGTCTCTCCCGGAGGTGGGGGAAATATCCGCCGGAGTTTCCAGACTCCTCAGATCCCCGGCAGCGGGGAGGGGGCTTCTCCTGGCAGGGGCGGGGATTTCCTGGGGAGAGGCAGGCAGGAAAGAATCAGATTTGGGGCCTAGGGGCGGCCGAGACCCTGGCCGAGGGCGGCAAGGGTTGCCCAGGCTCCTGCCGGTCCCTCCCCTCCGCCCGCCAGGTAGCGCAGAAATGGCTCCCTGGAAGGCCCGGCCCAAGGAGGGCCTCCTCCTCCGCCTGGCTCTCCTAAGGCCCGGCAAGGCTTGGAGCTGCCCCTCCATGCCCTCGAGTGCCGTGGGTTTGCGTCTGACACCGGTACCGGCGGAGGAGCGCACGCCGCCGGGAGGCCGCGCAGTCCCGTCCCGCAGTGCCTTGTATCTGGTTCTTGACGCAGGCGCGATTGAAAACCGCCGTGTGGCCACCTCTGGGTGCCTGGCATGGTGAGGTCTCCGTGGAGCAACTCCACCTGGCGCCTGGCCTCCGGGCTCCGCGCAGAGCGCCCCAGAGCCTCGTGCTGCCCGCGCCAGGGGCCCTACTCCAGCATAACCTGTCTGCTCTCCAGAGGGTGTGTCCCCGGTTCCGCGCTGGCAGGCACCTCCTCCGCAGTGGCGGGAGGGGGGAGACCTTAGCACCTCCGAGGAAAAGGGACTTTGACCTTTGACTTGGGGAGCCTGAGATAAGCCCCCTTGGGTCTCCAGCCTGGGCAGGGGCCGCCCTACCCTAAGTCCCTTCTCCACAGCCATTTCCGAAGTTTGGAAGACCCCAGAAGTGGGGATAACCGGGCTACCCACTACAAAAAAAAAAAAGCACCTCTGTGCATCCTAAGCGGGGCCTCGTCGTTTCTCAAATTTAAATAGAATGTAAAAGTCCAGCACAGGGGCTTGTTGCATCAACAATCAGTTTCTACTCCACTGGATGGAAAATGCAGCCGGCCGGAAGGCGAGCCGGCACGTCAGGATGCAGTTCCTACAAGTAGGCACCAGGTGTCGCTGTGGGCTCGTTGTCCCGGCTACCCCCCAATTCCAAGAACCATTTTTTCCTCTCCCTTCCCTCTCTGTCTCCTCTCTCTGCCTCCTCCCTCTCTCCCTCCCACCCTCCCTCCCTCTCTCTCTCCCCCTCTCTCCGTCTCTCTCTGTCTCTCTCGCTCTCTCCCCCCTTCTCACTTCCCTCTCCCCCTTGGTTGGGTTTTGCCAACATATCAAGATGCGTTTCGCCGGCTTCCATCACTAACCTCCCGGAGGTCATCAAGCCAAATTTATGAGTGGCCGCTGGAGTCACGTGACTCTATTTAAGGCTCCCTTATTTGGGAAGAGCGCATAGGATAAAGAAAGAGATATCTCCACCTATAAATTGTGCACTTTGGAGAACAAAAAACCCCTCAACTTCAAAGAGTCACAAATCACCCTTAATCAAAAAGGGTGCAGAAATTTTTTTTTGGGCCCTCCCCGCCATGAGCTCCTACGTAGCCAATTCATTCTATAAGCAGAGCCCCAATATCCCTGCCTATAACATGCAAACTTGTGGGAACTATGGATCGGCCTCAGAGGTGCAGGCACCCAGGTACTGCTACGGCGGAATGGACTTAAGCATCAGTTTCCCACCGCCTGCGCCTTCCAACTCTCTCCACGGGGTAGACATGGCTGCCAACTCCCGGGCTCACCCCGACCGCCCCGCCTGCAGCGCCGCGGCCGCTCCGGGACACGCGCTGGGCAGAGACGAAGCGGCTCCTCTGAACCCCGGGATGTACAGTCAGAAGGCGGCTCGCCCGGCGCTGGAGGAGCGAGCTAAGAGCAGTGGGGAGATCAAAGAGGAGCAGGCGCAGACAGGGCAGCCCGCCGGACTGAGCCAGCCACCGGCCCCGCCACAGATTTATCCGTGGATGACCAAACTGCACATGAGCCACGGTAAACTTTAGGACTTCATTTTGCGCGCTCGGGTCCGCCTGGGTTTTATAGGCCATGCGGGGCAAATAAAGAAAAAAAACCTGCGGCCATAAATTTTACGATCCAGGCATCAATGGCTCGTAAAACTGTCCACTAAAAGGCTTAGAGGCTGTGTGCGTCCAAATTTACGACGACATAATTGGATCATAGGAACAAAACGTGTATAAAAGGCAATATTCAATTTTTGGGGGAGAGGGAGGGAGTTAAAAAAATAGAGGGATCTGAAGGGTGAGCGGCGCGGGGCTCCGGCGCGGGGATCCCCCCGCGGCTGGCTCCCTCCCTCCCCTGCGGAGCCCGCTCGGCCGGCGCTCGCCGCTCGCCGCTCGGAGGCTCCCAGCGACTCGGGAGGGGCGGGAGGGGGGTCCCCGGTGCCCGGACCTGGAGGGTGCTTGCTGTTCGGTCCGAGCCTGGGTCTCCCTCTTCCCCCCACCCCCCCTCAGCCCCTCCGGCCCGCCGAGCGAAGGCTGCCGCGCGGAAAGTTTCCCGCCCGGGGCGGAAGCGCCTCTGCCCGGGCCTGGCCAGGTCGGGCCGGCCGCTGCGGCCCGCGGGGCCTGTCCGGCCGCGCTCACCTCGCCTCGCCTCGCCTGCCTCCCTCCCTCCTCCGGCCGCGCGTGGGGGGCTCGGGTCTGGGCTGGGGGAGCCGGGGCGCTACATGCTATTCACCCCTGCCTGGCTTTTGGTGGGGGGGTGGGTGCGGTTTCTGTTCCAGAGACGGACGGCAAGCGGTCCCGAACCAGCTACACGCGCTACCAGACCCTGGAACTCGAGAAGGAATTCCACTTTAACCGCTACCTCACTCGCCGCAGGCGCATAGAGATCGCCAACAACTTGTGTCTCAACGAGAGACAGATCAAGATCTGGTTCCAGAACCGCAGGATGAAGTGGAAGAAAGATTCCAAAATGAAAAGCAAAGAGGCTCTTTAGAGGCAGCCGGGCGGCCCACAGAGAGCCTCCCGGGGGCCCCCCAAGCCGCCTTCGGTCCTGCGCCTTTCCTTTTCGTTTTTTCTCTCTCTATATTTTGGGGTGTGGGGGTGGGAGCTACAGCCTTGGCCCCCAGGGCCTCTCAGACAAAAAAAGCGCTTCCCTCACCCACCCGGGTTCCCGCCGCGGGGGGCTGCCCCATCTCCCTTTAGCTGGACTCAGCTCTGCTCCGCTCAGCACCGGGCAGCTCCGGTACAGGCTGATACCTAGCGACCCTGGGCCTGGGCAGCCTCTCTGGCTCCCAGCCCCAGCCCGCCAGGCCCAGCCGAGTCACTGTGGTCCCGGTGGTGCCACAGGCCCCTGGCTCCGACCCTCCAGCCTCGCCCTCGCCTTTGTTCCCGGATAGGCCGGCCGAGCGGCTGCAGGCTGGTGAGAGCGTGGCTGTGCCTGGCGGAGTCCGTCGCCAAGTCTCGGGGTGCTTCTTTGCAGTGACTAAACCCCCTGTGCACTTACTGGAGATTTGCATATGAAAAGGGGAGAGGTCGGGGGTCCCCTCGGTTGCCCCGTGCTCGGGGACCTCTCTTCCCACGGGAGAAATCCGGGAACCGCCCCCACCCCAGCCTGCACCGCCCGCTGCATGTCCTCAGGCCCAGCCCCAGCCTGCTAGCTAGCTCCACTCTCGGGGTTTCCTGCCGCTGGGCCCCTTGCTGGTCCACGGCCCCCGCCACAGCCCTCTCTGCCCTCTTGCCCCATCGCTATGGCCCAACTATTTATTGACTCCAGGTCTTTCCGGAAGCTATATTTTGTCATATCAAATAAAGACGAAGCGAGAACAGGACTGAAAGTGCCGTGGCTCCCGTCTGTTTGGGTCAAAGTGTCTGAATGGGCTCTGAGGTGTAGGGGGAGGCCCCTCGCCTTTAAGTCTCCCCTGGAAAAACAAATTGTTTTGGGGACTTCTAAGGGCAGCGAGAAAGGGGAGATGAACTCAGCCCCTTTCCTGGCCCGAAGCTGCGGAGCAGAGCGGCTGGGGCGGGGGTGGGCTTTTCCCTCTGGTGCTGGCTCTCCCAGGCCTTCAGGTCTGCACACCGGTTCCCACTCTGGCTCCAGACTGGCAGCAGCCCTCCCCGCCTCCCCTCCTGCATGCCAGAGCTAATCTGTAGGGACTGATGGCTCCGCCGCCGTGTGCTAGATTTTGGGGCCCTCTGGAGGGCTCTCCTGGGGCCAGGGGGCCCACTGCCTGATAGAGGGGTGCTGGGGGGGCCGGGCCATGTGTGCTTCACTTTCTCTGCTACTGGGGGGCGGGGAGGACGAGCTGCAGTGCCTACCTGCCTGGCAGGAAGTGCTCAGACCCTTTTCTCCACCTTCTGGGGCCTAGGGCTATGCAGGACAATTAACCGGGAGAGAAGCTGCATAGACGTGTGGCCCAGTCACGTCTGTTCGCCCTCATTCATCTCAGTCTCTGGGATTTTGTGTGGAGGAGGAGGGTGGCTGTAAGGGGGGGGGGGGGGCGGCTAATTCAGGTGGTGCCTGGGGCTGGCCTAGGTTCTGCCCAGCCCCAGGCTCCTGGGATGGGCTGGAGAGGAAGCACTTTGCAGGAGAAAACAAATGCAAGGAAGGGTCCATAAAACTTTACTGCAGCTTCCTCTCCCGCCCCCCACAACAGGGTGATTTCCTGGAGCCGTGCCTAGGCCCCCCACACTGGTGGGATGGGGATCTGGACTGTGCTGGGGGAGCATTTACAATTATTAATGCGGAGGTGCCTGGATTTTTCTTTTTCTTATTAAGGACTGACTTCACTGCATCCTACTACCTTGGCTTCCGCACTGTCATTTTGTTTTTGTTTTTAAGAATAAGACCCAAGAGCCTTTGCCCATCCCATGCTACCACCCTTCCCTCCACACTGCAAGCGTAGAGCAGTGCTGAGACCCTCAACTTGCAGACAGCAGTCGGCCCAGCCCCTCTCTCCCTCTCCCTCTCTCTCTCTCTCTCTCTGTCTCTCTGAAATAAAATGTGTAATTTTCTTCAGGGAGTTATTTTAATTTTTTCTCCATGCTGAGTAAAACTATTGGGTGAGCAGTGGAGCGTGGAGCAGCACAGGCGTCTCCGAAGGGTAACAGTTAACTAAGAAAGAAGCTGTAGCGCCTGCACTCCCCGCCCCAGCCTCCCAGGCCGCCCAGGCTCCCTGCGTCCTCCCCAGGGCACAGACCAGGGGCCAGCAAGGGCTTTGCCTGGGGCGGGGGCACTGCAGGCCCCACCCGCCGGGAGGGCTATACCTGCCCCACGGTGGGTACACTGGGTGTTTTGTTTTTTTTTTTCAGGCCGGCTGGCTGGCAGGGTTTGGGCCTCTCCTTCCTGTATGAGCTGCAGGGCTGATTTCATGTGAGCAGGCTGGGGTGGACACAGCCGCGCCCGCCTCTCTCCCATCCCTGTCACAGTCTGCAGACCTGTGCGCCCAGGCCCCAGACTCAGCTTCAGCGACCCAGCACAGGGGACGGGTGAGGCCCTGGCTTGCTTTCTCCCTGAGCGTTCAGGCTGTGGCTGGCTCCCCGCCAGCCCTGGAACAGCCTCCCGGGAGCAGGGTCTGGCTCTGCACTGGGGCAGTATGCAGGGGCCCGAGGAGCCGGCCTCTGCACTCTGCCCTGGAACCCACCCCCTCTGGCAGCGAGAAAGAAGGGGAAGAAGCGTGACTTACCTTCCCGGGGGAGTGGGAAGAGGGGGACACGGCCCACTCTGAGCAATTAGAGGAGAGAGGAGGAAAAAATAGGAGGAAAAAAATATCAACACGACCTCGGAGGCGACAGGTCCTTATGGAAATAAGTAAGTAAATAAATAAATAAATGAGGGTCCACCCTCTCCCCCCTCCCCACCCTGCAAGGGGGTGGGGGGTGGGACAAAGGAGCACCACCAGGGCTTTTTAGTGTTACTGAGCATTGGAGGACTAGGCATGGCTTCTACGTGAATTTAGGAGTTTGAAACTTTTGGAGGTTATTTATGTGAATGGCCCGAAGGCAAGCCCGTGAGTGGCTCTTGGGGGACCACGTGATGTCATTAAACCAAGTTTTATGGTGTAGGGAGAGCTGACAAACCCACAATATATTTACATCATATATAATCTTAACTGTCCAGCCACGCAGCTGCTGGTGAGGTTTAATGCTAGGACAGAGGGCCTGGCAGTTAGAGGGGATTACGGCGCTGGGGATGATGGTGAGAGAGGTTCCATCTTCGCAAATGAATCCCAGGGAACACTGTAAGTTAATTCTCTCTCCCCCTCTCTCGCTCCCTTTCTCAGACCTTTCCTCACATTTCCTAAATCTCCTCCCCTTGGTAGAAGGCAGTTCCCACTCTGGAAGCGGGGGGAGGGGGGAATAGGCCAGCTCAGGCCTCCCCAGGCCGCGGCTTGCCACCCCCCAGCCCTGCTGCCCCTCCCCGGGGCCCTGCTGCCTCTAGCAACATCCTGTAGTTTCCTCAAGGTCTCTCTGACCCTCTCTCAGTTGGAAAGAAAGTCAGCGGCCGAGCCACGAGCAGTGGGCATTTGTAGGAGTGTGCAACTCCTACGCGAGAGCCAAGTGCTTGTGGGGCACTGCGCTGCAGGGAGGGGTGAGTTCACCCTCAGCCAGTGGCCCAGGATCCAGGCGGTGGGGGGGGGGGCTGGGGACCACGGCGTGGAGGGAGGGCTTTGTGGCTTCTGAGCCCACAGATTGCTGCTGGAACCGGCAGAGGCACCTGAAAAAGTCCCCAAAGTATCCCCCTCCCCTTCAGCACCGGCCAGGAAGGGCGGCTGTCCCCGCCTCAGTAACCTGGAGTCCTCATTTGTCTCAGGCTCCTGTGGCTTCACGCATCCCTCTCCCTCTGAGGTCTTCCCAGCATCCCAAGCCTTTGCCTCAGGTAAAGCCAGGGCCCCAAGACCTCAGGGTTCCCTCAGGGAGGGTCAGGTACACGGAGTGGGCGGGGAAGTAGACGTGATGTCCTCGCTAGGCTAGAAAAGCGCCCCAGCCCAGAGGAGGGGGGAGGGAGCCAGCAGGGCCCTGTGTGGCCATTGCGTACTGAGGCCAGTCTCCAAGCTGGGGTTCTGTCAGATTTCTAGAAGGGAGCAGCAGAGGCTTCGGGCGTGGGAGGCACGTGTCCTGGGCACCTGCCAGTGTTTCCTGTATCCCCTCCCAGTGGGTCACCGGCAGCTAAACCTCTATGCTTAGGGAGGGCTTGGAGGCTGGGCGGCTGCCTGTGCACAGAGGGGAGGGGAGCAGAGGGCCAGGGCTGGGGGCCAGGTCGGCGCCTTCCCCAAGAGGGGGGTCAGTACTCACACTCTGGCCCGACCCCCGCACTCAGGTGCAGGATGGGGAAGGGACTGTCGCTATGGTAGTATCCCCTCCGCTGTCCAAGGGACTGAGGAAGCAGGGACAGGAGGGTGAAGGGACATACAGGCACAAAGCTGGGGCGTGGGGGGGGGAGCGTACTGAGACCAGCCCCACACCTGCAAGCACTTGGAGGACCCTCCCGTCCCCGCGCACCTTCTCCCAGGGCCTCAGCCACCACCACACACACACCACCCTTGCCCAGATTTGCCCTCTCCATCCTCCTCCCTGACAAGCACTGGGACCCCAGAAAAGTCTGTCCAGGAGGGCCCTAAAAAGTTAACTCTCAGGGTCGCCTTTCCTCCTTCCCCACCGTCCCCTCTAGGCTGAGATTCTGAGGGTTTCCTGAAACTGTCGGATCCCAGCAGCAGGGAGGCATTCCCCAGGGTCTGTAACTTGCCTCTCCCCTCCCCAGCCCGCCCCTCCCGGCCTCCCGGAGGTCTTTAACCAGGAATTCAGCTGGAGTCCCCGTCCCGTCCCCAGGCCAGGCGGCGCTGCGCTGGGCGCTGCGGGCTGTGTGCGGATTCACACAGCGCCTCTTGGGCAGTCACTCCCTCCCTCCCTCCCTTCTCTGTTCTTGAGGCTCAAACGGTCCACTTAAACACCAGCCTCCTCTTCCTTCCAACAATCCGCTCTTCGGGTCAGTTTTTACTGTTTTGTCAGTTCCACCTGGACTCGGGACAAACACAAAAGGGCCCTGAGATTCGTGGGCTTTCCACGCCCAGCGCCCTGAACTGGGGATGTGTGTGGGGGTGGGCAGGCAATCAGGTGCCAAGGTGCCCCAGCCAACCCGGAAAGCTTTTCATTTTGTTCCTAGGTCTTTAACCCTAGAAGAGGTCAAGCAGCCAATCAGGAATGCGCTAAGCAGGGTCATATGGCCTCCATCAGCCAATCAGCAACAAAGCACTTGGGTCTCTGGCTCTCTCTCTTCCCACCGTCCCTTCCGCGCTCCGGGGGCTGCCCTCGGTCAGATTCGGAGGGGAGGAGTGATCCTGGCTCTCCCTCTGGCTCCCCTCAGCCTGTGGCTTGTGCCTTCGGTCTCTAACAAAGTCGTAGCTTGAACTGAATCGTGCAGGGGTATGAAGCTGTGGGGACAGTCCCCTGGAGTGTTGTCTGTGCCCCAGCGTGGTTCTGTCCCATTCCCTGAGCTGCATAGGTGGGAACTCTGCATTAGGCTACAGGGCAAGTGTGGAAATGAGCTCCAGCCCAGAACTCAACTTCTCATCGATCACCCCCTCTCCACTTACCACTCTCACAAGTTTTCATTCTCTTCTGAGCCAGGGGTGAGGGGAGCAGGTGGGGTGAATTGAGGAGACCCCTTTTAATTGATATTTCTGGAATTACTCCTGGGGCATTGGATTTATCAAACTGTCTTAAGCGTGGTTGGGGAACGGAGCAGAACTGGAGTCTTTTTGTTTGGTACCTCTCATTTGTCAAATCACTAGGGCTTCCATGTTGAACAGCTAATGTTTCGGCTCCTGTCTAT